GGGGTCTTTTTTGGTTCCATATGAACTTTTGAAGTATTTGTTCCAGTTCTGTGAAATATGTTGTTGGTATTTTAATGGGGATTGCATTGAATCTATAGATTGCTTTGGGTAATATGGACATTTTAATGATGTTAATTCTTTCAATCCATGAACACAGTATGTGCTTCTATGTTTTTATATCTCTTCTATTTCTTTTTTCAATGTCCTGTAGTTTTCTGCAAATAGGTCCTTTACTTCTTTGGTTAAGTTTATTCCTAGGTATCTTAATTTTTTTGCCACAATGGTAAATGGGATCGTTTTTTTGGTTTCTCTTTTTGTGAGTTCATTATTGGTGTATAAGAATGCTGTCGATTTCTTGACGTTAATTTTGTATCCTGCTACTTTGCCAAATTCATTTATTAAGTCTAGTAGATTTTTGATGGAGTCTTTAGGGTTTTCTATGTATAATATCATGTCATCTGCGAATAATGAGAGTTTCACTTCCTCCTTTCCAATTTGGATTCCTTTTATTTTTTCTTCATGTCTGATTGCTGAGGCTAAGACTTCCAGTACAATGTTCAATAAGAGTGGCAAAAGTGGACATCCCTGTCTTGTTCCTGTTCTTAAGGGAAATGTTTTTAGTTTCTGCCCATTGAGTATGATGTTGGCTGTAGGTCTTTCATATATGGCCTTTATTATGTTGAGATATGATCCCTCTATTCCCACATTGCCAAGTGGTTTTTTTTTGAAGTGTTCCTTCTTGAATTTTTGAAATAGTTTGAGGAGAATGGGTGTTAGTTCTTTTTTGAATGTTCCGTAAAACTCCCCTTGAAGACAACTGGACCTGGGCTTTTGTTTGCTGGGAGAGTCTTGATTACCTCTTCAATTTCCTTAGTTCTTATTGGTCTGTTCAAGTTTTCTGTCTCTTCCTGGTCCAGTTTTGGGAGACTGTGTTTCTAGAAATTTGTCCATTTCGCTTAGACAGTCAAATTTGTTGCCATATAATTGTTCATAGTAGCTGTTAATGATCTTTTGTATTTCTGTGGTGTCAGTTGTTACTTCTCTTTCATTTCTGATTTTGTGTATTTGGGTTCTCTCTCTTTGTTTCTTGGTGAGTCTAGCTAAGGGTCCATCAATCTTATTTATCTTTTCGAAAAACCAGCTCTTTGTTTCATTGATCCTTTGAATTGGTTTTTTGATCCCTATGTCATTTATTTCTGCTCTGATCTTTACTAGTTCCTTCCTTCTACTTGCTCTAGGGTTTTCTTTTTGTTTGCTTTCTAATTCTTTAAGTTGTGAAGTTAGGCAGTCAACTAGAAATTTTTCTTGTCTCTTGAGGTAGGCCTTTAGTGCTATGAACTTCCCTCTCAGAACTGCTTTTGCTGCATCCCATAGATTTTGTGTTGTTGTGTGTTCATTTTCATTGGTTTCTAGGAAGTTTTTAATTTCTTCCTTGATCTCCTCGGTAAGCCATTCATTGTTTAATAACATGCTATTTAGCCTCCATGTGTTCTAATGTCTTTGCATGTTTTTGTTGCAATTGATTTCTAGTTTCATGCCATTGTGATCTGAGAAGATGCTTGATATGATTTCAACCTTCTTGAACTTGTAGAGACTTGGTTTGTGTCCTAACATGTGGTCTATTTTTGAGAATGTCCCATGTGCACTTGAGAAGAATGTTAATTCTGTTGTTTTGGGGTGTAATTCTCTGTAGATATCTATTAAATCCATCTTGTCTAGTGCTTCATTTAGAGTCTCTGTTTCCTTGCTAATTTTTTGTCTAGAGGATCTATTCAGTGGTGTCAACGGGGTGTTGAAGTTTCCTGCTATGATTGTATTGCTGTTGATTTCTCCTTGGAAGTCCTCCAGAAGGTTTTTAATATATTTTGGTGCTCCTATATTGGGTACATATATGTTTATCAAGGTTATATCTTCCTGTTGGATAAATCTTTCAATATTATGTAGTGGCCTTCTTTGTCTCTAATTATGGTCTTCATTTCGAAATGTATTTTATCAGATATGAGTATTGTTACCCAAGCTTTTTTTTTGCTTGGAAAATTTTTTTCCATCCCTTTACTTTCAACCTATGTGAGTCTTTTGTTGTGAGGTGGGTCTCTGTAAACAACATATAGATGAGTCATGCTTTCATATCCAATCAGCTACTCTGTGTCTTTTTATTGGAGCATTCAGTCCATTTACATTTAAGGTGATTATTGATATGTACTTATTTATTGCCATTTTTGTTTAATTTGGTTATATTTTTCTTCCTATTTCTTCTACTAATTACAGCAGTCCTTTTAACATTTCTTGCAGTGCTGGTTTGGTGCTAGTGTATCCCCTTAGCCTTTTTTTTTTTTTTTTTTCCTGGGAAGCTCTTTATTTGACCTTCTATTTTGAATGACAGCCTTGCTGGGTAGAGTAGTCTTGGTTCAGATCCTTGTTTTTCATGACCTTGATTACTTCATGCCATTCCCTTCTGGCCTGTAGTTTCTGTTGAGAAGTCAGCTGAGAGCCTTATGGGGTTTCCTTTGTAGGTAACCTGTTGCTTATCTCTTGCTGCTTTTAGGATGGTCTCTTTGTCTTTAATTTTTGGCATTTTAATTACTATGTGTCTTGGTGTGGGCCTGTTTGGATTCTTCCTACTTGGGGCTGTCTGTGCTTCTTCAGTGTGAATGCCTTCTTCCTTCACCAAATTAGGGAAGTTTTCTGTCAGTATTTCTTTGAATATATTTTGTAACCCTTGCTCATTTTCTTCTTCTTTGGGGACTCCTATGATGCGAATATTATCATGTTTCCAGTTGTCCAACAGTTTTCTTAAGCTGTCTTTCTGTTTTTTTATTTTTTTTTTCCTTTTGGTTTTCTGATTGGTTGATTTTTTTTTCTACCCTGTCTTCTAATTCACTGATCCGGTCCTCAGCTTCCTCTAGTCTGCTGTTTAGACCTTCCAATGTGTTCTTTATTTCTGATGTGTCATTCTTGATCTGTTCTTGGTGGTTTTTAATTTCCAGTTGGTTGATTTTCAGCATCTCTATGTCCTTACTCATGCTGTTGAAGTTCCTCAAGATCATGGCTCTGAATTCTAGCTCTGTTAACTTGCCTAACTGTCCCACATTGATCTCGTATTTGGTGGAGGTCTCTTGTTCTTTCATTTGGCTTTTGTTTCTGTGTTTCACCATTTTGGCTATCACAGTGGGCTTTGGAGCCTGCCAAGTTTTCCCTGTGGGTGTTGGTGTTCTGCTGTTTGTGGCTCCCTCTCCTGGGTTTGGATGAGTGAGGGAGGACCCACGTTAAACACCACTGTCAAGTCTTACTTTCCTGGTTAGAGTTGCTAGCCCAGGAATGGTACAGTTCTCCTCTAGCTTTTTGCCTGGAGGCTAGCAGTCCAGGTTACTTGAGTTTTGGGTTGTCATTTGATTGAAAAACTCCCTCTGGTGCTCAGGGTAAGGGGATTTCCCGAGGGTGGGGCAGATGCTGGTTGTTATTGAGCCTCAATTTGCATTTCAATAGCCCACAGGGTGGGGTTGAATCTCCGAGGGAGGGGCCGCTGCCTCTTCCCTGAGCCCTGGGAAGGAGCAAGATGACCACAGTCCTGAGTGGCTGCCACTCAGCAAAAGCTCTGAGTGTCCTCCAAATCCCGAGTGTCCCCACACAGTTCCAGTGCCGTCTGCCCTCCCTCTGCCGGAGCCCAAGGTGAGTGGCTGTGGCTATTTTAGCCTCTGTCCGGGCTCTGCTGTGGAGCCGCCTGGGAGTGTAACCCGAGGGCACTGCTCCCAGCTAAGGCTGCTGCTGTCTGTGGGCTCCCAGCCCCCTCTCGCGCCTCCGAAATCCTACCAGGATCGAGTCAGTGTCCCTGGTTATATGGTCCTCGCAAGCTGCTTTTCTGTTGCTTTTTGCCATCAATGTGTCTGTGTTTTAGTTGTAATTCCAGTTTGGTCCTGGGAGACGGTCTGTGTAGGTCCATTCACTCCATCGCCATTTTGGAACCTTGGGACTGTGTCTTCTTTATCTCAGTGTCCCCAGAGCAAGCCCTTCGCAGGGCAGATGCTCGGAGGTGTGCTGAGTGGGCTCAGTCCCTTTAGCTGGGCAGAGAAACCGAAGGCGGGCACAGCTCTCTCCTAGAGCGAGGCAGAGTCAGACGGCCAGGCCAGGACCAGGCTGGAACTGGTGAAAATACTAACTTGTTTTCTTCAGTAATTATAGTCATTTTCCCCCACTATTTGGCACGTGGGGGATACTATAGTATCAAACACAGTCTTTCCTCGAGTCTTCAGATCCAGTCTGTAAAACCTCCACATAGTAACAGCAGCACCGGTGCGAGAGCCTAGGACACTGGACAAGGCCGTGACCTCGGCGGTGAAGGGCCGTGCTGGCCGGGCCTGGGCCTCCTGGGGTGTCCGGGCTGGAGAACAGGGACTGTGACCTCGGCGGTGAAGGGCCGTGCTGGCCGGGCCTGGGCCTCCCGGGGTGTCCAGGCTGGAGAACAGGGGCTGTGACCTCGGCGGTGAAGGGCCGTGCTGGCTGGGCCTGGGCCTCCTGGGGTGTCCAGGCTGGAGAACAGGGACTGTGACTTCGGCGGTGAAGGGCCGTGCTGGCCGGGCCTGGGCCTCCCGGGGTGTCCAGGCTGGAGAACAGGGACTGTGACCTCGGCGGTGAAGGGCTGTGCTGGCCGGGCCTGGGCCTCCTGGGGTGTCCGGGCTGGAGAACAGGGACTGTAACCTCGGTGGTGAAGGGCCGTGCTGGCCGGGCCTGGGCCTCCTGGGGTGTCCAGGCTGGAGAACAGAGACTGTGACCTCGGTGGTGAAGGGCCGTGCTGGCCGGGCCTGGGCCTCCTGGGGTGTCTGGGCTGGAGGTTGGTGGGCAGTGGGGTAGGTGGCGCCCATTCCAGGGAACAAAGTGACATTGGCAGCCATTAGATTGAACGTGTGATCCGTGCTTTGAGAAGAGTTCATTTTGCCTGGCTCTGGATCGATGCCTTCATGAATTAACTGCTGTATGTCTTGTGCTTGGTTTGCATCCTCTAGGCTCAAACCATGAATTACGTTGGGCAGCTGGCGGGCCAGGTGTTCGTCACTGTGAAGGAACTCTACAAGGGCTTGAATCCTGCCACCTTGTCTGGATGTATCGACATCATCGTCGTCCGCCAGCCCAACGGGAGCCTGCAGTGCTCCCCGTTCCATGTCCGCTTCGGCAAGATGGGGGTCCTGCGCTCCCGAGAGAAAGTGGTGAGCTTGGGGCCCAGGGCCTGGGGAGTCTCTCCTTTGAGCACATCGCCCCATTTCTGTGGCTTTACACAGCCGGAGCTTGTAGCCCTGCCTGTTAGCTCTCTGTTGGAAGGGCTGCTCACTGAACTGACAACCAAACTGTGTGTCTGCCTACTGCCACCTTCCGGACACTCAGGCTGGGGCGGGGACCCTGTGAAGATGTGCTGTTCTCTCAGGTGCCGGTGGCTCTGGGCTGGCCCCGCGGGGGGCTGGGTGTTCTCACAGCATGGTGGCTGGCCGCCCAGAGGGAGAGAGACAGACAGACCAGGGGACGCTGCATTGCTCTCCTGACCTCTGAGGTCACAGCGACATGTCCGCTGGGTTCTGCTCATCAAGGCAGTCACGAGCCTGCCGGGCTCAAGGTGGGGAGTGGGCGGGGTGTGGACACCACCTCCTGGTGGCGGAGCAGGCAGGACCGGAGGGCAGGTGGAGAGGGGGATTCGAGCCACGTGCGTGTGTGTGGAGGCATGGCCATCCCTGTGAGGTTTGTTTCCTGTTTTCTTTCAGGTCGACATAGAAATCAACGGGGAATCTGTGGATTTGCACATGAAATTGGGAGACAATGGAGAAGCATTTTTTGTTCAAGAGACTGATAATGATCAGGTAAGGACGCTGGGTGGTGGAGGTTACTTCCTGGGTTTGCCCTTCGAGATGCTCGTGCAGGAGACCTTGGGGGTGTGGGGCGGGGTGCCGGCACCTGGCCTTGGCGCTGCCAGTCGTGGGTGGAGCCAGGCAGGGCGGGTGAGGTGGCAGGAACCAATCGCCTTGGCCTGAACCCTTGTCCGAAGCCTACAGATTACACTGGAGCCCATCTCAGGTGGCTGAGTGTTCGCATGTTTGTTTAGTGAGTGACCGGATTACTTTTATTTTCATTATTTAAAAATTTCTAACAGCGTTGTTGGGATAATTCTCATACCATACAATTTATCCATTTTGAGTGTACAATTCAGTGATTTTTAGTATTTCACAGTCAGTCTTGGATCATGTTCATCACCTCAAAAAGGAACTCTGTGCCCTTAGTTCTCAGGTCCCCACACACCACCCGCCTCACCCCACCCCGGAGCCCTCCGCACCCGCTACTGTTTTCTGTCTCAGTAGATTTCCTTCTGCGCTTTCCCATGAATAGGGTCATATAGTACGTGGCTCTTCGTGCCTCTCTGCTTCCACTTCCCATCATGTGGTCCAGGCCATCCGTGTCCTAGCGTGTCGGCTCTTCATCCCCTCCTACGGCGAAGGGTATTCCGCTGTCTCCACGCACCGCGTTTTATGTCTCCTCCCATGTGTCTGTCGGTGGTTTCCACTTTTGGCTGTTGTGAGGAGTGCTGCTGCGAACAGTCGTGTACCAGTGTTCACCTGGCCCTATGTTTTCATTTCTCTCGGGTCTGTACCTGGGAGCGGAATTGCTGGGTCGGACGGTAACTCTGTTCAACATCGAGGAACCGCCAGACTGTTGTCCAAGCTGCTGCACCCCTGGCGTTCCCATGAGCAGTACACGAGAGTTCCCGTCGGTTCCATTTCCACCCGTGCTTGTGATCCGACTTGGTGGTGGTAGCAGCCCAGTGGGTGTCAAGTGGTATTTCATTACGGCTTTGATTTGCATTTCCCTAGTGACTAACGATGTTGAGCATCTTTTCAAGTGCTTATTGGCCATTTATATATTTTCTTTGGAAATATGTCTAATCAGATTGTTTGCTTATTTCTTAATTGGGTTTTTTGTTTTTTTATCACTGAGTTGTGAGAATCCATTATATATTCTAGATTCAAGTCCCTCATTGATATATGACTTGTAAATATTTTCTTCCATTTTGTCAGTGGTCCTTTCTTTCACTCTCTCGATGGTGTCCTTTGAACACAAAGTTTTTAACTCCGATGAAGTTCAATTTATCTGCTTTTTTCTTTTCTTGCTTGTGCTTTTGGCGTCATGTCTAAGATCCATTGCCAAATCCAAGGTCATGAAGATCCACCCCTATGACTTCTTCTAGATAAACCACTGTATTTACTCTCTCACTCACAGAGAAAGCCACTGTGAAGTAGTCTGATGTAGTGATTTCTCAGTAAAATCTACTTGAGCTGATTCCTGTGTGGGAAGAGAGCCTGGTTGAACGGCTGTGGGCTCCGGCTGTGGGCTCCGGAGCAGACGTGCCCGCACTGTTTCAGGGCAGAGCGCCTCAGCGCTGCGCCCTTTGGGTCTGCCCGGGGGTGCGGGGCCCGGGGGTTGTGAGGCCCGGGGGTGCGAGGCCCGGAGGGTGCGGGCCTGGGGGTGCGGGGCCCGGGGGTGCGGGACCCGGCGTCCCCCTGCGCCTCCGTCTGCGCGCACCTGTGGCGGCGGGGGCCTGCCGTCCCTCCTCGTCCCCCTCCAGGGGAAGGCTGTGGGAATTCCTGACTCGTTCCTGACGTGCTCTGGCAGAAGCTCTCTGCCTCATCCGCACACTTGCATTTTTAACTCGTGCGCCCTTGGCTTTCGGCAGATTTGCTGCCGGGAGAGCCAGGGACGCATTTTGGGCGAGGAAGCTGCAGGGGCCTGCGGGGCTGGGAACCCTTCTCCGCCAGGGCCATCTGGGCCTTTCCAGCCTCATTCTCGGGCCTCCTCGATCATCGGCCTCGAAATGAGCCGCTGTGTTCGGCTGCGATTGGGTGAGGCTGCGGTGTTCGCCGCGATGATTGGACGCCTGGCGGCCCTCTGCGGGCGCAGGCGCGGCGGGTGGGCGGGGTCTGGAGGCCCGAGTAGATTCTGGCCGGTCCTGTGCCCTGTGCCGGTCCTGTGCCCTTCCTGTGCCCGTCCTTCCCGGGGAGGCTGCTGCAACCGGGAGCCTGTGTCCTTCCGCACCAGATCGCTGCGGGGCCGGCTCCCCGCCGCGCACAGGTGCACCCCCTCCCGTTTCAGTCGGTGGAACAGGCTCTTCGGCTCTTGCCCCAGGCCCAGCCTGTCTGTTCCCTCGTCTGGCTTCGCCGAGCAGCTGGGGAGACGGCAGCTGGGGAGACGGCCGTTCGCAGGGCCCTGGGCCACTCTCCGCTGTCAGTACGTTTCCTCACCCTCGAGTGTGCGCGTCCTCACTTCCCGGGACCAGGTTCCTCGTTCTACACGAGAGCCCTTGATAAAATGGTTCCTGTGTTTGCAAGACTGGTGAATCATTTTCAACCAATTATTAGGTCAGCAGGCTGTGTTTTTCCTTTTGTTTTTGAGAAAAAGGTCAATGTCTGCTCACTCGCCATCCACGCACCTGGATGCGCTCTGGCCTAGGAAGGCACTTGGGGCGCAGCAGGGTCTCTGCAGTGTTTTTCTTTTTCTTCTTTAAGTCCTCGAGGATATTTTTCCATTTATCTTCAGATAGAGAGAGAAGAGAGAGAAATATCTATGTGACAGAGTCACACTGACACATCGATTGGTTGCCTCCTGCACAACCCGACCAGGGCTGGGGACTGAACTGCATCCAAGGTACGTGCCCTTGACCGGAATCGAACCCGTGACTCTTTGGACTGGGCTGATGCTCCAACTGCTAGGCCAGACCGGCCAGGGTTTGTCCGGTGCTTTTCTAAAAATTATTATTAACCTCTTAATTCAGTGCATATTAAAAAAATACACACACACACACACACACACACACACTCTGAAATGCAGATTTGAGTCTCGTTCCAGGGGATGTGATGAGTCAAAGGCCATCTCTCCCTATTTACTCTGGATGGTTCAGACATAGTTGAATCTTGGTGGCTTGAAATCACTGATAATGACCTCACTTTGTTTTAATTATGAAAAGGCAGTATTTAGTACAAAATGTCATTTAATGAATGAATGTCGACTTTGTGATCTTCTGTCAGATTCTGCAGCCACCTCTCCAGGTCCCTGTGACGTTTGTTCATGTTGCCCTGTGTGGTCTCCCCCAGGCGTGTGATCTCCCCCGGGCATGTGCCCTGCGTGGCCTCCCCTGGGTGTGTGCCCTGCGTGGCCTCCCCCGGGCGTGTGACCTCCCCCTCCCCTGGGTGTGTGCCCTGCGTGGCCTCCCCCAGGTGTGTGCCCTGCGTGGCCTCCCCTGGGTGTGTGCCCTACGTGGCCTCCCCCAGGAGTTTGACCTCCCCCTCCCCTGGGCGTGTGCCCTACATGGCCTCCCCCGGGCCTGTGCCCTGCGTGGCCTCCCCCAGGCGTTTGACCTCCCCCTCCCCTGGGCGTGTGCCCTACGTGGCATGTGCCCTGCGTGGCCTCCCCCTCCCCCTCCCCCTGGCGTGCTGGGCTCTGAAATGAACACGGCCACACCTTTGGCAGGGCCCTGCTCCTTCCACCCAAATTGACAGCCTCTTTCTAAAAGCTGTGTTCTGTCCTGTAGGAAGTGATCCCCATACACCTGGCCACCTCCCCGATCCTGTCCGAGGGAGCCTCGAGAATGGAGTACCAGCTGAAGAGGAACTCCATAGATCGCACGAGAAGCCTGGACGCCGGCACGGCAGCCCCGGCCTTACCTCCCAGCGAGGCCCCGTCCAGTGGCTCCTTAGTGAAGAAGAGGAGGAAGAGGAGGAGAAAGTCGCAGCTGGACAGCCTGAAAAGGGATGACAACTCGAACACGTCGGAAGACGAAGACATGTTTCCCATCGAGATGAGCTCCGACGAGGAGACGGACCCGCTGGACTGCAGCAGGTGAATGTCAGTCCAAGGAGGGCTCGTGTTAGGACCAGTGATGTGCTTTTTAAAGACGATTTTTATTCCCCCCACCCCCCGCCCCTGGAGTTCCTTATTCTTCTACGACTGCATTTTAGACTGAATTTTGGAGTCCCGTGGACCAGTCTTTAGTAGCAAGGATGTGATGTAGCTTCTAATTGTGAGATGATTGGAAATGCCGGACCTCCTTGGCTGTTCATTCAGCATCAGAGCAGAGCCAGGAAATGCGAACGGAGCAAACTAATACCTTGTGCGTGAAACCATTGTTTTAGACCCTCCTTGTTTTTATTGAGCACCAGCTGTGTGCCCGGCACTTGGCTGATTGTGGCCTGCTTATCGGTGGTAGTTGGAGGGTGACACGTCAGCGTGGAACATGGCCGGTGTTCTCCCCGCGCAAACTTTTCCTCTTCAGTTTTGATTAGGCCCCAAGTTGAATTTACATCTGTTTTTGTCTTTCTTTGCTTTTAACAGTGTGCCAACATTCTGTTTCTGTATATTACTATTTTGGTGAAAGAAAAGGACAGTTTTAAAAGAGAAAACTCATTTATAAACAATCGTCAATGTTTCAGGGTTTTATGCAAGTCATTTTTGATCATTGTTTTTGTATCTTGTTAACATAAAAAAGGGATAAGGGGCATCAGGGATGCCCCCCCCCCCCCCCCCCCCGCTCCATTATCCGGGAGAGAATACTTTCCCTGGGCTAGAAGCGGGCAGATTGTCAGTGTTGCTGTTCCTAAGCACAGCTTGCATTGCTGTGGGCTCGGAAATGCGGTCGGGCTTTCAGACCCAGAGCGCAGTGACGGTAGTATTTCGGGTGACATCAGACACAGACGATGGCCTCTGCCTGCGTGAAGTAGCGAATCCCATTTTGTAATGAGCGTGTTCCCGGAAAGAGGTAGGTTCGGAATCGTTTTGTGATTGTAAGACACACTTGGTTTATTTTGTTGATTTATTCTGCTAGACGAAACATTTTCTGTGTGTTGTCATAGAATTATTTAGCAGCTCCCCGCTGCGTGGCAGGAGGCTTATAACCGAGTTTTATAACCCCGGGGTCCAGTTTGGGCCCGCTCTGCCTCTCAGGCTGTTGTGGGCGACGTGTGAAAGATGACTGGATGAGGTGTCACAATGTGTCAATGGCAGTCACAGTGCATGTGTACAAGTCCAAATACTTGACCAAAGGAAGGCTACATTTATAATCCAGCCAACGCTTGAACACACGAGACGCACTTGTGTGGCCCGCGTGGCAGTCCCCCACGTGGGCCGTGCTGGGTGTGCAGGGGCAGTGACTGCAGGGCACTGGGTGGGCGTGAACACGCGGACACCTGCTTCTGCTACGAGTCCGTCGCAGTGAGTCTCCGACTTCAGTCTTTTTCTTTCTGTTTTTACCAGGACCCTTCCTGGTGATATTCCTCCATTCGAAGAAGACACCCCGAAGGAAAACCTCTCCCCAGCCCTGCCTTATGCGCAGTCAGCATCGTACCCGAATTCCGATAGAGAGTGGTCGCCCAGTGCCAGGTGAGCTGCGGGTGTGTGCTCGCCTGTCGGGCCAGAGGCTGCGCTCAGCTGCAGCTGTGCTGGATGGGAACGGGATGGAGAACGCAGTCCGTCAGGAGGGGCCAGCGCAGGAGGCCCTGGGGGAGAAACAGTGCTCAGGTCACGTGGCAGCTCGCAGCTCCGCGGGGACCGCCAAGGGGAACCCCTTGTTAATGCAGGTTGTCAACAGGAGAGAACGGGTCACAGCCTTTCTTGACACTTATCTCCGAAGTGAGACTCAAGCTCGAGGGGCCACCGAGGCCAGTGGGGGCTGTTAGAATGCTGCCTGCTCCCTGAGCAGCGCCATCTGCTGAACCCAAGGGTGTTTATTTCCCTGAAATGAACTCTCAAGTTGGCCTAGACTCCGCTGTAAACTGGAGAACCAGAGCTGCCCAGCCCGCAGATCTCCATGCTGAGACTCCAAGACCTGCGAGAGTATGTGAGCCCTCCGGGCGGGTTTTCGGAAGATGGGGGAGGGGCAGATCAAAGCAGTCCCAGTAGGAACAATAGCGCCCTTGGGATGCAGATTGGTTCTGGGTGGCAAGAACAGCCTTAGACGTTGCGCTGGTCTCCGTCAGCAGGAGCCATAGCGCAGAAGCAGACAGCTGGTGCATTCGCGGCATCAGGACTGCATGGTGCAGGGAGGACTGTGAGGGGAAAAGTCTCAAAATGCTCGGGGTGTGGTGATAGCGAAAAGAGGTTGAGCCCTGGTCACTTTGGCTCGGCCATTAGAATGTTGGCCCTCGGATCAAAGCGTTGTAGGTTCAGTCCCAGTCCCGGTTGGGATGGTGTGGGAGGCAGCCCATCAGTGTGTCTCTCTCACATCAGTGTTTCTCTCTCCCTCCCTTCCACCCTGTCTAAACGTCAATGGGAAAACATCCTTGGGGGAGGATTAACAAAAAACAAGACAAAACAAAACAGGAAAAGAAAAGAAAAGAAAAGAAAAAGAGAAATAGTGATTTAAGTGATAGTGAATGACAATCTTGGCTTATTTTTATTCTTTTTTTTAGAGATGGAGAGGGAGGGAGAGGGGGAGAAACATCAGCTGCCTCCTGCACACCAGGGTTCGAGCCTGAAACCTTGGCGTCTGCCCAGACCGGCACTGAATTGGCAGCCTTTTAGGTGCATGGGACATTGTCCAGCGCACCGAACCACACTGGCTGTTCTTGTTCTTTAAAAAATAGTTTTTTCTTTATTGATTTTAGAGAGAGAGGAAGGGAGAGAGAGAGAGAGAAACATTGATAAGAGAGAATATCCATTGGCTGCCTCCTGCATGCCCCCCACTGGGAGTCGAGCTCACAGCTTGGGCGTGTGCCCTGACCGGGAACCGAACCGGCGACCTCTTGGTGCAGGGTTGATGCTCAGCCACTGAGCACGCCAGCTGGGCTCTTGCTCATTCTTAGTGTGTTACATTGACTCCTGGTGCACAGCGGCTGTGTGGGAGCCCCGGGCTCTGGACGTGCTGCGAAGGCCTCCTGCCCAAAGCCTGTCTCCTGCAGTCACCGGCCCTGGTCTCACTGACCGTGATCTCGTTCGTGAGTAGGGCCTGCTGAGCTTTGGGTCGGAGAAGAATGGACAGGTCGCACGCCTGGTGTCCAGCCAGGACTGGGACAGTGCGTGTTAGTGAACCAGGACAGCAGGGTGCGGCGGGGGCCGTGAAGCCCCCTCACTGAGGTCCGTCTGTCTGAAGACCGTCCTGTCCAACAGCAGCATCATGCTCGCCACACCTGCACATTGACATTACCTAGCAGCCATCCTGGGGAAGGAGAAAGAAACTGAAGAAATTAACTGTGATGAGATATTTCACTTGACCCACTATATCCAAAATACCCTGTCAGGTAGTCAGTTTCAGAAACATTATTAATGGGATATTTCACCTTCTGTCTAAGGGCAAGTCTGTGACGCCGGTGTGTATCGCTCACGGGCAGAGCTGGTCAGTTTGGGCCGTCACGTTGTGCGTGCTTAGCGGCCACGTGCGGCCAGGGCTGTCCCGTCAGTTGTGTGGGCGGGATGGCTGCCTCTCCAGGACCTCGGACACCCTCTCTTGGGCTCTGGGGATTAGTCCCCAGGAGGGAAACCACAGGACTTCAGGAAGAAAACGTGGAATGATTGCAAACCATGAATCTGTTGTTCAAACGCTCTTTCTTTTAAGAAGTTAAGTGTTTTAAACACAGCCCTGAAGAGGTTTTCTCTTTCACATTTTGCTGTGAATCTAGAATAATGACCACGTCTGATTATGTGGATCTGACCACTGTCGATCACAATTACATATTCGGATAAGTGGATACATTTCTACGCTGGAATGATGCATTTTCTTTAAAGAGACAGCTGACAGCACAGTAACCCACCTGCTCCAGAGGTGTGAGGACGCACGAAGTTCTGTCCAGAGGAAAGCAGTCTTCTGTGGGCACATGGATGAAACAGAAAGGAAGACGGTCTTGGGCAGTTTCCTGTTTCTGCCGATTTCTTAGTGATTTCAACACACCGTCCTCTGCACTGTCAGACGCCTCAGTCGGTCATCTCCTTGCAGTGTGACCGCTCCGTGGTCCTGTTGTTGACGGGAGATTTCATTTCATTGACCTGTGATCTCTGTTCTCTTAATGTGTATCCCGTGGTGTCCAGTGGCCCGATGGATTGCAAAAGGACGCCCCCGCACCTGGCAGTCGCCGCCGAGGGGCTGCTTTCTAGTTCCTGCCCAGCACAGCCGTCTCTCCTCCCGGCTTCGGAAAGGTAGCCCCTCCCCACCCCGGCTTCGAAGCTGGCACTTTCTTTCCCTCTAACCTCACACTTTTGTCTTGCTGTGGACCGAACTAACCTCTGCAGAAATGCATAGATTTTATGGAGTGGAAATTTTGATGCGACTCTTAGAAATCTATTTTACTAACCGAATTACTTATGACGAAAATACACATAGATGATTATTTTCCTTTCATTTTAGCATTTGTCGATTATTAGATTCCTTTTCAGTTACTGACTTTGCATCTCTGAGGATTGTGGTTTGATCATATAATTCTTTCTAATTCTGTGCAGTGCTTTCAAAATAGAAGAATGAACTAAAATTGGGAATATGATCTTTGGTTTTGTGTCTAGGGTTGTTCAGCAAGTAAACTCACAAGATTTTTTAGGAAACCACTTTAGTGTAATGGATGTTATAAACATTTAAATAGCTCGTTAGACTTTCTGAATACTGGAGTCAGATGTTGGCACAGCATTTCCAGAGCAGAGTGCTGGAGCCTGGGGAGGACAGACCCGAGGGCCAGGATCGGGGTGTCTGCCGTGTGATGCTGCCGTCTCAGACCTCGGCCTGCTCCCTCACGGGGCCTCGGTTGTGGTTCTGTCCCGGCTCTGGTCGGGGTCATGCGGGAGGCAACCAGTCGGTGTGTCTCTTGCGCATTGATGTTTCCCTCCCTCCCTCCCTCCCATTCTATCTCAAGATAAATGGAAAAATATCCTCGGCTGAGGATTGAAAAATACATAAGTAAATAGAACGAGGTGAACCGATGGTGAGCAGTTCGTCTGTCTGCCTATTGGGACGGGCAGGAATTCTGTCGTGTGGTCATCAGTGCATTCCTTCAGGAAATCGGTCAACGACCTTGTAAGTTTACTTTTGAGCAACCCTTGACCTCAGAAGTCTAATATTTGATCATGGAAAACGTGGGCATCGCCTCTCATCACTCACGCCGGCCTGGGAGCCGGAGCGCCCGTGAGCAGGCCGAGTGCTGTGCTGAGGACAGACCCTCTGAGAGGCTGGGACGGCCGCGTCCTCTGTCGCGTGGCCTGTGAGGTGGGCCTGCAGCTCATCCAGCTCTCACACGGGCTTGGCTCTTTGTGAGCGTCCGGCGCAAGCCTGGTGCCTCTGGAGCCGTGTGGCGCTTGTGGAAGGACCAGGACATTCGGCTTCCAGGCGGGAAGTGCCCTGGACTGTGCGCGAGGCATGTTCTGCCAGCAGGGGGCGGCCCCGGCCCCGCACTCAGCGTCTGCTCTGCAGGGCCCGGGGCGGCGCCCGCTTGCGTGGGCACTGTCTCGCAGTGTGTGCCCGCTGGCAAAGCCCGCGCCGCCCGGAGCCCGAAATACTTGCCCCCCGGCTCTTACAGAGTTTGCTGACCCCTACGCCAGAGCGAGTCAGCCTGAAGGCTTTACTTCTTCTAGTGGCAGTGGGGAGACAATTCCTAACAAAATGAAACACAAGTTATATTTTGTGCGATAAGTACATAGTAGGGGCTTCTTAAGCAGTGATTGGAGGTGGGGTGCAGCTCAGGTGAGGGTAGGAAGTCATCGCCGCGATGACCTGGAGGAGGGGTGGCTCAGGTTGCGGGCGGGTACAGAGCCCTCACCGGAGGCCACGACAGTCCCTGTGCATGATGCTGAACGTATAACTGTGGACACCTGACCCCTCGGACGTGTGGAGGTCCCAGTGTTCCTGCCCACGAACTCCTTCCGGAAGGGTGGGGGAGCATGAGTGGGGAGGCATCCCATTCTGTGTGCCCTCACAGGACGCCGTCTCGGGACCCCAGTCTCCACAGGCTGGCATGCCGTGTAGATGGCCTGGTGGGCAGTGGGCACCTCGGAGTGGAAGGAAGGGGCAGAAGGCTCAGTCCGCTTGTCCAGTCGGCTTGCACGAGGAGATCCGGATGTAGGCAGGGAGGGTCGTGATATGACACAAGTTACGTGTCACCCGTGAGCCCTCCTTGTCCTGACAGCAGAGCTGTGTTCAAACGGAGTTGACTAACTCACACGGGACCCAGCTCGTGCTGAGGGGTGACCGAGAGGCTGAGGTCTGTGAAAGACGCCAAAGGAAACCGGTTGGCTTTTTTCTTGCTTCGTTTGAAAACTGCGGTCTCACTCGGGAGGAAGTGATGCAGGGGATAAGACAGGAAGTACTCGAAGGGTCTTGTCTCCATCTGTGGGTTTAGAAGACTGTGAGAATTTTGTAGAGCAGTTGATTACTCTTGGCTGGTGACTGGCTGGACAGAGTAAGACTGTTCAGGTCTCAAGAGTAAAAGAAAACAGAGATGAGAACAAGTTAAAACCACTTAAAAGCTGAGAATGAAGCGCTGGGATATATTGCTATAGAGAGGCTTGGCAAGTAGGAGTCTTTTTAAAACAATACATTTTTATTGAGTTTTAGAGGGAGAAAGGGAGACAGAGAGAGAGAGAGAGACATCAACGAGAGAGACACATCGATCGGCTGCCCCCTGCATGCCCCCCACCAGGGACGCAGCCCACAACCTGGGCATGTGCCCTGACCGGGAATCGAATCGGTGACCTCCTGGCCCATGAGTCAGTTCTCAGCCACTGAGCCCACTGGCTGGGTGCAAGTGGGAGCCTTTGAAGTATTCCTCGAAGGTATAATATGTTCTGAAATTTCAACGTGGAGGCTTCTGCCACGTGAGTTTGTGGCATCTGGCATTTGTGGTCAGGTTGGCAGATGACGCAGTTTCCTGTTCTCAGGCGGTGCAGCTTTGCTCTGTGTGGACTGTGGAGTGGAGTGGAGTGGAGTGGAGTGGAGTGGAGCGGACGCAGGGCGGAGCGCCGGGGCCCGCCGGCAGCTGTGGACTTGCTGACCTCGGAAATGCAGCCGGGGCCTCGGGGAGGTGGGAAGGATGACTCCTGGGGACATAGGCGGACTCCTCTTCCTGTCTCTTTTCCAAGTTTCCCTTTTTAATTCTACTTCTCATCTTCTCTACTTGGAATTTGGCAGCAGTTTGGGACAGGGTTACCCATGCCGGGAGCACTTTCCACCTGGACGGGTGTCCTGCGGACCCCTGGTGGCCACAGACGGCATCGTGCTCCCGAGACGGCGATTTTCAGCCCACGAGCCACAGGACGTCACCACACACGGTGCCTGTTCCGTCGGGCACGGGCCTCCCCCTTCGCCTGTCAGATAAGAAATGGCAACGGCCAGTTAACCACAGCCGCCCCGTGTGGCTGAATCAGTTATACCTTTTTTTTTGGTCAGCTTGGCAAAAAATGTATTTTTTGGTGTGCCGCAGAATTTTAATCATTGGTTTCTGGCCGTGAGGTGAAAAAGGTTGAAAATCCTGTCGAAAGGGAATGTGCTTGGGTGCATTTCCTGGGCCCAAAACATTAAAAAAAAAGTTTCTCTTCCCACTTTATCATCTCGGATTTGTGTTTCGTTAAGTCCTGCAGGTTCCCGACCTTCAACCCCCAAGAGTGATTCGGAGCTGGTCAGCAAGGCCGCGGACCGGACGATGCCGAAGAGCAACCTGGAGATGCTCTGGCTGTGGGGGGAGCTGCCTCAGGCCGCCAAGGTGGGTGCCCCGGGCCGCGCACGGGCTGGCCCTGCCCGGAGGAGAGGTGGGCACGCTGTTCTGTCAGTAACGCTGTTTCATGTCCTGTGCACTTGAAGAATCTTGAGTTCTACTTCAAGCTGTTTTGTTTTTTTTAAATTATTATAAGGCCCTTGGAAGTGTTTGTGGTCTGAGCGAATGGCCGGTGGGTGGGTGGTGGCGGCTGAGCGCATTCCTGTGAAGACTCGGGGTGAGCAGCCCTTGGAAGAGAGGTCTGCTGAGGCTGATCCGTGCCCTTTTTAGGTTATATTTAGCTTTCACGGAAAATGCTGATTTCTCTGCCCACACGCTGTAGTGCTGACCCAGCCAGCTGTCTCTGCAAGTCCGTGTCCCTGGTTGCCGGGCAGCGGCAGGAAGTGCAGACCATCACTTCCGAGAGCAGCCCCGCCGCAGCCCCGCAGTGCTGTTCTCCGCGCCGGGAGCCTGAGCCTGTACCAGGCCGGACGCCCCTCCCCTTTCTGATGCACCGACTGCCTTTCGGTGTTTGTTCGGATGGATCTTTTCCATAACCGGAAACTCCTTGGAGAGATGGAATCAGAAATGCTAGTTTTCCACTCACTTGAACCAGCCACCAAATTTTCATTGCTCACTCATTTTGGGGGTGAAATATATACACATATGTGGAGACACTCGGATTCTAAGTGCACAGGTCAATATGTGTCTGCACTGTGAACATGTCCATGTGACTTGCACCCAGACCAGGAATTGGGACCAACTGGGAGGCCCCCACCCTTGACTTACTGCTCAGACTGACCCCCCACAGGGATTGACATGATGTGACTCTCACAGCAGAGGTTGGTTTTGCAAAGTTTGTCCGGTTGCTGTAGTAACCAAGCTCCTGTACGCTCATTCCTGCAAAATGCCTGACTGTGAGCACACTTCACGCTCTCCTGACAGACGCTGGGGTGGCCGCCACCTGCTGGCCGCCACCAGCCTCTCAGTTCTTGGCAGTTGATGTTTTATATAAAAGTTCCTTTGATTTGGGACTAAAATTCTTTCTTTTTTTCAAATACGTTTTCATTGAGTTTTTAGAAAAGAAAGGAGAGAGAGAGAGAAACATCAGCTGCCTCCTGCACGCCCCCCACTGGGGATCGAGCCCACAACCCGGGCACGTGCCCTGACCGGGAATTGAATCGGGGCCTCTCAGTCCACGGGACGAGGCTCAGTCCACTGAGCCACTCCAGCCGGGCAGGGAACTAATATTCTTGATTCCTGGACCTTTGGCAGGTGTGGGAATCACCAGGTGACTCCCGAGGCGTCTCCTGCCAGGTGTGGACAGCTCGGCAGATCCTCGTTGGCTAGTGTGGTGCTTCGGTCACCTCGGTTTTTCGGCCTCTGTGCTCTGACCTCTCTCCCCCTCTCCCCGCCCTTCGCTCTAGTCGTCCCCACACAAGATGAAAGACTCCAGCCCGCTGAACAGCAGGAAAATCTGTGAGAAAATGCACTTCCAGGCCATTCACAGCGACTCTTCCGACGCGTTCAGTGACCAGTCGCCGACGCTGGCTGGGGCGCCTCCTGCGCAGCCCCTCGTGGAGCCGAGCAGGTCTCAGACGGAGATGCAGTTTGTGAACGAGGAGGACGTGGAGGCCTTGGGGGCCGCAGCCCCGCCGCCCCCTGCCACGGAGGAAGCCAAAGGCCCGGGTGCCGCGGCGAGCAAGATGGACTCGCCCTCCAGGAGGAAAGGTGCGGGCGGGGCTCCCGGTGCAGACTGCTCCGCAGGTCGCGGGCCGGCCTCCACGGCTCGGGACCCTGGCCCGTGACACCGGCTGTCCAGGGCGTGCCCTCCGCTGCACGTGTTCATGTGCGAGTGCGGTCGGAGGCAGCGAGGCCTAAGCGAGGCCTTCCGGGTCGTGCAGTGAACCCCCTTGCACAGCTCGGGGATGCGGGTCCGGAGGGTTCCTCTGTTTTTGTACACCGGGGTTATTCCGCCAGTCTGGTCCCCTCGCCCCTTGGCCTCGTTTCCCTGGTTATTGCCATTTAAATGTCTGCTTGTCACATTTCGGACGATCAGTTTGCCTGACTGCCCCTAGAACAGCACTGCTGAGACCAGAACCTTGGTTGGCGCACAGGAGGGGCTCTGAACCCTGGTTTGGTGCACACCTGGCATGATGCCAGCCTGCGCTGTTAGCCCTCAGCTCTGTGCGTGATCTGGGCTCGTGGGGACCACGGCCGTTCTCTGCCGGAAGCTACCAGGAGGCCTAGTCAGGGCGCTGTTCAGGGCACTGTGCTCAGCGTACTGACGGGGGCTGCTCAGTGAGAGCCCGGTCACATCGCCACCATGGTCATGTGACCCCAGCGAGTGCCCGTCCCAGGCGGGGAGTGAGGCCCAGCAAAGCGGCGCAGCTTGACCTGGGCGCCTGCCTTTGCCTTGTGCCGTCCGACAGCGAGGCCAGTCTGGGCACTGAGCACACACACACCCTTCCGTGTGCTGTGTAGACTCGGGAGTCCACGGGGTGTTCTGAGCACACGCACACCCTTCCGTGCGCTGTGTAGACTCTCGGGAGTCCACGGGGTGTTCTGAGCACACGCACACCCTTCCGTGCGCTGTGTAGACTCGGGAGTCCACGGGGTGTTCTGAGCACACGCACACCCTTCTGTGCGCTGTGTAGACTCTCGGGAGTCCACGGGGTGTTCTGAGCACACGCACACCCTTCCGTGCGCTGTGTAGACTCTCGGGAGTCCACGGGGTGTTCTGAGCACACGCACACCCTTCCGTGTGCTGTGTAGGCTCGGGAGTCCACGGGGTGTTCTGAGCACACGCACACCCTTCCGTGCGCTGTGTAGACTCTCGGGAGTCCATGGGGTGTTCTGAGCACACGCACACCCTTTCGTGTGCTGTGTAGACTCTCGGGAGTCCACGGGGTGTTCTGAGCACACGCACACCCTTCCGTGTGCTGTGTAGACTCTCGGGAGTCCACGGGGTGTTCTGAGCACACGCACACCCTTCCGTGTGCTGTGTAGGCTCGGGAGTCCACGGGGTGTTCTGAGCACACGCACACCCTTCCGTGTGCTGTGTAGACTCTCGGGAGTCCACGGGGTGTTCTGAGCACACGCACACCCTTCCGTGTGCTGTGTAGACTCTCGGGAGTCCACGGGGTGTTCTGAGCACACGCACACCCTTCCGTGTGCTGTGTAGGCTCGGGAGTCCACGGGGTGTTCTGAGCACACGCACACCCTTCCGTGTGCTGTGTAGACTCTCGGGAGTCCACGGGGTGTTCTGAGCACACGCACACCCTTCCGTGTGCTGTGTAGGCTCGGGAGTCCACGGGGTGTTCTGAGCACACGCACACCCTTCCGTGTGCTGTGTAGGCTCGGGAGTCCACGGGGTGTTCTGAGCACACGCACACCCTTCCGTGTGCTGTGTAGGCTCGGGAGTCCACGGGGTGTTCAGTCCACGCGTGCTGACCGGAACCGTTTGCTCTTGCAGACAAGCGAAGCAGGCATCTTGGTGCAGATGGCGTCTACCTGGACGACCTCACAGATATGGACCCTGAAGTGGCTGCCCTGTATTTTCCCAAAAAGTAAAATTTCTTTTTATTCCTCGTGTCATTTTCTGTCATCTGAGTAGTGCATTCTGTTTGATGAGAAAGTGGGAGGAGGCAGCAGGAGGCTCACAGCTGACTGGCAGAAGCCGCCAGTGAGAACTGGACTTTCTCTAGATAGTGTGGGCTGGGTGTCCGTGGGGCTGGGTGTCCGTGGGGCCTGGTGTCCGTGGGGCTGGGTGTCCGTGGGGCTGAGTCTCCGTGTGGGCTGGGTGTCCGTGGGGCTGGGTGTCCGTGGGGCTGAGTCTCCGTGTGGGCTGGGTGTCCGTGGGGCTGGGTGTCCGTGGGGCTGGGTGTCCGTGGGGCCTGGTGTCCGTGGGGCTGGGTGTCCGTGGGGCCTGGTGTCCGTGGGGCTGGGTGTCCGTGGGGCTGAGTCTCCGTGTGGGCTGGGTGTCCGTGGGGCTGGGTGTTTGTGGGGCTGAGTCTCCCTGTGGGCTGGGTGTCTGTGGGGCCTGGTGTCCGTGTGGGCTGGGTGTCTGTGGGGCTGGGTGTCTGTGGGGCTGGGTGTCCGTGTGGGCTGGGTGTCTGTGGGGCTGGGTGTCCGTGGGGCTGGGTGTCCGTGGGGCTGAGTCTCCCTGTGGGCTGGGTGTCTGTGGGGCTGGGTGTCCGTGTGGGCTGGGTGTCTGTGGGGCTGGGTGTCTGTGGGGCTGGGTCTCTGTGGGGCTGGGTGTCCATGGGGCTGGGTGTCCGTGGGGCTGAGTCTCCCTGTGGGCTGGGTGTCCGTGGGGCTGGGTGTCCGTGGGGCTGGGTCTCTGTGTGGGCTGGGTGTCCGTGTGGGCTGGGTGTCCGTGGGGCTGGGTGTCCGTGGGGCTGGGTCTTCGTGGGGCTGGCTGGCCGCTGTCGGAACAGGAGTGAGGCACGAGCTGTCTCCCCTGATGGCCCTGAGGTCACGTTGCAGCCCAATCAGTGCAGACAGCGGGCGTCTGTGTGGCCCACCTCCCAGGACAGGGTCCCCTGGGTCCCAGGCCCATCTTTAGCTCACCCGTGCTTTGCAGGCAGGGCCAGCTCCTCGGAGGTCGAGCGTGGAATGTGGCCTCTCGGGAGTGTGGCTCCAGCCCGCTGCACGTGGGCACGGGAGGGGCTACAGCGTGTGGTCAGCCAGAACTGATTGTGTTCTCTCCTGAAGGTGGTTCACGTCACCTGTCTTCGTTTGCCCTGGTGCTCTACTGAAAGTCTGCCGGGGGGAGTCATTTGCTTCTCCGAGGGGTAGCTGATCGCACAGCCGTTTGGTGTGTGAACCCCAGACAAGGAAATTCTCAGAACACCTTGCTCTCTCCCTCCTTCCAGCGGGGATCCTTCCGGGCTCCCCAAACATGCCGAGAGCGGAGCCCGGTCAGCCAGCCAGTCCCCGCAGTCCGTGGGCAGCTCCGGCGCTGACAGTGGCGTGGAGAGCACCTCCGACGGCCTGAGAGACCTGCCGTCCATCGCCATCTCCCTCTGCGGCGGCCTCAGTGACAACAGGGAGATCACCATAGGTACGCCGGGCGCCTGGGAGCTGGTCCTGAGCCAAGAGCGCCCTCTTGTGGCCACCGGTCAGAACGTCCAGAAGCTTGGTCTTCTGCACGGGTCCCTGTCTGGTTGCTCTCACTTGGTTTGGTTAGTGCCAGCACCCCGGGTTGCTGGCTTGCACTTGGCTGACCAAGGTTCTGTTATTCACACACGGCTTCAGGCAGCAGCAAGGCCGTTGGGGTCACTCACGTCAGGCGCTTGCTGAGCGTGCTGTCTCCTCGCCCCACGTCAGTCCTGCAGGCCTGGGAACCTGCATCTTGGTCCGGGGGCGGGGGGCGGTGTTCTGAGGACACTGGAGGGGTGCAGGTGACAGTGTTCAGAACCCCGCCTGCTGGCACTGAACGAGCCCTTCCTAAGGCAGGACACCACCTTCCATCTACGAACTCGCCCACCCTCAGCCTTCGAGGACGTATCCCGGCGTGACACATGGGGGACTGAGGCTCGGGGAGATGAATCCCTTGCCCAAGGTCTCAACAGTAAATGTGACTTAAACCCAGGTCGCCCGGTTTCCGAGCCCTGCTCAGTGTTCACCTGCTCCCTTAGATGCCTATTTAGACTCTTCTCCATATCCCTGCTCCCACGTAAGCATGTGCCCCAGCGACGGGGACGTCTCCCCACATCCTCGGTCCGCCCAGGCCCCCTTCACTCTCCATAGACGCTGCCCCCAGACAGCGAAAGTTCGTGTCCTTCACAAACACATCGGGAGTGACCTGCGCGCCTGGAGCGTGCAGACCCTTGGAAGACGTGCCTGTGAGCACCAGCAGTGAAGATTGGGCTGTTGCCGGAACCGGGCTTTCCTTACGTTGTCCCTCCTGCGGTTGCTTTCCCAGACGCATTTCTGGAACAGGCTGTGTCATACCAACAGTTTGCGGACAACCCCGCGCTCATCGACGACCCCAACCTCGTGGTGAAGATTGGGAATAAGTAAGTTTCTCGTGACTCCCTGGCCCGATGCTGTTGTGATTCCAGTTTTTCAAATGCAGAGACCTGGACAATGAACCTGAGACATTTTTATATATTTACATTTTTTTATATAACCCTTGTTAAAATACACTGTTGTCGGCTCACTGTTGGCAGCAGCTGTGGTGCTATACAGTCGGCAGGTTGATTGTGGATTCTAATAGCTACACTAGGTCTCACACGGACCGTGGAAAGTCACGGCCCGAATGGTCCAGGGGCAACGGAACAGACGGTGTGTCCCCACTTGGAAGCTTCCTGCCTGAGGTCAAGGGCAGGTGTGTCGTAGACCGATGGCAAACTTTTCTCCTTGAGAGGAGGTCGCGATGTTTGCACGTTGTCGGGCACCCACTGTTCCCCGGAAGCGTGGCAAGAAGTGCCACGTTGGTGACTCGATGCCCAGGGGCTCGGCTGCCTTGCAGCTGGCCGCGGGTCCCCTGCCACCCTGACTGGAGTCCCCGCCTGGACAGCTGCTCGGCCCGCAGTGGAGCCACTGCAGGGGGACAGGCGGGGGGCCTGGGGGTGTTGGCAGCAGTTTGGGCTCTTCATGGACCCAGCTGGAGTTCCAGAACTTTCTGTGACCACGTCTCATGACATAGGTTTTCAGTCCAAGCCTGGTCTCTGAAGTCTCTCTCACTGTCGTGTTAGGTATTACAACTGGACCACGGCAGCCCCTCTGCTCCTGGCGATGCAGGCTTTCCAGAAACCTCTGCCCAAGGTGAGCTGGAACATGAGAAAGACGGGACAAAAGTGACAGGTGGGGTCATCTGGGCGGTTGGCATTTACCTTTCATTTTAAAAACCAGTTAGTTATGTTGTGCTCTTTCGAAGTTTGTATCGTCAGGGGTTTCGAACCTGTGTCTCTTGCACCTGAATGTCTCCCCCCCCCTCCCCGCTCATCATGGTACACCCCAATCGTGGTGGTGCTGGGGCCCCTTCCCAGCACCCGTCGGGCTGGGACACAGGTGGGATGCCCGGATGTCAGCCCCAGGGTGACGAGGGAGGGGCAGGGAGGCAGCCGCCAGGCTCCAGGTGCCGCTGCCCCGCTCAGGTGCTGCTCCGCGGAGCCAGCGGAGGCCTGGTGGCCGCGGAGCCCCTGCCGGGCCTGGGCAGCCCTGCTGCTGGTGGAGCCGGCGTGGCTGCGAGGAGGCGGCAGCGTGATGTCGAGGTGCACGGCCGCCACTGCGCTGTCGTCCTGCCGCCCACCGAGTCACAGCCGCTCGGCCTGTCCCTTCCCCCGTGCTCTGTGCAGAGGCTGTGTCTGCCCTGGGCCTGTGCACTCAGCAGGGGCTCCGTGCCGCTGCGGGGGGTCTCCCGTGTCCTGAGGCCTGGACTCCTGAGGTCTGGTCTGATTGGGAAGTGCGTGCTCCTTCCTGGGGGTGACTGTGTGTGTGTGTGTTGGGAGTTGGGGATTGAGACCTCGTCTTTGGGGTACTTATCTGGGAGTATTCTTCGTGCTCTGGGAGGAGGGCATGCTTTCCTGGGTGGGCCCTTTGGTCTTGCCAGGCCCCTCCGGTGTCCACGGCCCTGGACACGTTTTTATGTTGCACGTTTCAGCTCTCACACACGAGTGAGAGAAAAGGCCGGGGCAGTGGAGATGCTGTCAAAGAATCTGGTTTACAGAAGAGGAAACACCCATGTCTTCTAAACGAAAAGAAATGAGCCTTTGTGAATACATCCTCAATTTTTTTACAAGTGTGTCAGTGATGTCTGAGTGTTTATGGTGTTTACTCTAGAAGGACTTTTCCACGCAGAACTTGTCATCTTTTCCCGCTCTTGGTTTTACATCGTACTCGGAACGGCCCTGCTCCCCCCAGAGCTTGTGGAGATGTGCCTCGTCCCTTCTCCCAGTACTTCCTTAGACCTTGATCCACCGGATTTTATCTGGGAGTCTTGGGCGAGGTGTCAGGAACCCAGTCCTTCCCCCCAGCGGGCTGTGGGATTAGGATCGGGAAGCAGAGAGCGAAGGGGTTTCAATAACGGCTTGATTACTGTGCACACGGATGATCTTAGCTGCTCGCTCCGGGCTGGATGCACCTGGGTTAGCTTCTCTGCGATTTTCTTGGCGGTCCCTTCGTGGTCACGGGACGCCTGGTCTCCGGCTGTCTCATGCAGCCACATCGAAGTGGGAAGGACGGAGGAGACTTCTCACATTTCATTGGCCGCAGTTGGTCATATGCTCACCTCCCAACCCCTTGCCGGCAGAACAGCAGAATGACTGCGAATGTGTAGAGCCATGGAGGTTCGTTTCCTGGCCGGAAGGCCGCCTTCCTGGAACACACTGCCGCCCGACTCTTGAACAGAGCTGTCCCGTGTCGGCCAGCAGGGCATGATGCCCCCGCCGAGACACTAACAGGGTTGGCACAGCTCCCTAATTATCCCGGAGCCTTTCATCAGGTAGCTCTTGCCCCACCGACAGGCAGGTACAGCGTGATCATCAACTGCATTTCTCTGTGAATTTCGATTTACTTCTGAACGTTGTCTTTTGTTCCATTAATATGTTGACTCGTGTACCAACTGCATCTTTGCAAATTACTGTAGGTTTAAATATACTCTACTGTTTAGTGAGGCTTGTGTCATTACTCTTCTGGGACTTTTCTTGGCTCTTTGTGTTTGTGTTTACAGTGAGCTTTGGAGTAGCTTGTCTGGGTCTGACAAGTAGTCCTGTTAGGGTTTTTGATGGCTTTATACACTTACGGATGAATTAGGAGGAGGGCGTTGACGTCTGTGTGGACAGTTCTGTTCCTGAAGCGGGGTGTGGTTTGCCTGCCGTGTTTCGGTGTGCTCAGGCGTTCCTTTGTGTGAGGCAGGGGTGTTTAAATGATGGAAAGAAGCACACTTCGTCCTAAGGGTGTGGATTATTTCTCTCTCCACTTACCTGCAACCTGTTTGGTTGAGAGACTAACTCCTGCTCCCATCACCAGCTGAGGCGGCAGCGACCTGGTAGCTCTATAAAACCAGGGAGGGCGCTTAGGTGACATTGACCTTGGGACTGGAATTAGCCTCCAGGTAGATATTTTGTTCTTTGGAAACAATGTTGACTCTTCCCCCCATCAAACTTCCACGAATTTAGGGCAAGAGTATGATTTTCTTTTTTAATGCTCGAGATTTTAAATGCATCTATTAAGGTCCAGTTTGTCAGAATTTAGAAATTTGCACTTACTAAAACCATTCTGTGTATTTTACCCTCTCCCCCCTAGTAATCATTTCATTTTTTATTTTGTAATGACCACAATGAGAGTAACAGAATGTTAACCAGCAAGCAGCTTTAATTTGAAAACTTCTTGTCTTACTAGTCACTAACGATTCTCAATGCTCTCTTTTTCTGTTGTTGTGTTATATCTTTTTGTTGTTTGTTTATTCCTTTAACATCTTCTTAAGTCTTCGTGCTTAAGTTACCTTAACATAATTTTGGACGCCATTAGATTTTGCTTCTTGAAATTTTTTAATTCACAAATAGTATGTTGTGTTTCCTCCTGTTTTTTTTTTTTTTTTTTTTTTATTATCTTTAATTTGCATGTATGTGTCTTTTGGTTTGAATGTGCTAAGTTGATCTTCTTTTGGTTCCATTATTTATGTTACCATCCATTTGAAACAGGCCACGGTGGAATCCATCATGAGGGATAAGATGCCCAGAAAGGGAGGCCGGTGGTGGTTTTCGTGGAGGGGAAGGAATACCACGATCAAGGAGGTAAGCTCGGGCGACCGGGGGCGTCACTCAGCTCCGTATCTTGTGGTTCGTGCAGCGGAGTTTCTCCGGCTCCGGGTCACAGAGCAGCGTGCGCCTAAGTTCACCACTAAGTTCACCAGCTCCCAGGAGCGCGCTCAGCCACGCGGGCGGGGGGCACCGCAGATGCCCAGGGGAGAAGGGTCTGGAAGGCTAGGTGGGGCGGGGCTCACCTGGCTCGCTGCGTCAGCGCAGAGACCCCAGCCCGCCCCTCTTCCTCTGGGCACCTCTTCGTCTGTCGCTTGCGAGGGTCGTAGCAATGAGGTCTCACAGCGGCAGAGAATCCTCGTTAGTCCTTTCGCATTAATGGCACGTCTGAATACACGTGGTTTCCATTCTGCAGATGCCTGTGATTGTGTTGGATCTTTGTCTGTCTCCTGCCTGTTTCTCGAAGCATTCTCTCGGCTCCCTTGTCACTGTGCACCTGGCTTTGCGCCCCCGTAGGGCTTCTCGAGGGCTGTCCTGGGGTCTCCTCTTCGGCTTTCGTTGCCTACTTTGCCCTCGGCAACCCCACCCACGCCCCGGGGATGGCCAGACATGCTTTTCTATCCTATGTCCATTTCTCTGGCAGCCGACTAGGTAGACATCTCCCTGTGACCGCTTCACGACACCTGGAACTTACCATTTCTGTCACTGAACTCACAGTGTTTCTGTGAATTCCGTCGTTGGACCATAGTCAGAAAATGGTGGCTCTGCGCGTGCACAGGCTAGACACCTCCCCCTCCTCACGTGCAGCCCTCCCCAGGTTCTCTCCGTTTACCGTCCTGGGCACTTCTCCAATTTCCCGTTTCTCTCTGCCTTCGCTCCCTCACCTCTAGGCTGCGGGACCCCTTCCAAATGAACTGTGTGTATCCTTGTTCTCTCTACTCTCTCTACTGCAATTACACTGTTCTATTTAGGATACTGGTCCTTCTGCGTTACTCCTTGCTTAAAACCTCTTAGTGGGTCACCAGGGTTCTTATAATTAAGACCATTGTCCTTACATGGTCACAGGACGTGGGTGTCCTCGTCCCCAGTTCCTCTTTAGCCTCATCTTTTCCATTCTCTCCCTGTCCTCTGTGCTGTAGCTTCACTGGCGGAAAGTACTTTCTACCCCAGGGCCTTTGCATGTAGCGTTTTCTCTGCCTGGTGCTCTGGGACCCATCTCATTCCTCTTCTCTCGGTGAACTGGCATCTCGGGCGCCCTTCCCTTGGCAGACGAGCCCGGCCTGCTGTCCCTGCTCTCAGCCCTGCCCGGGAACTCTTCTCCCATAAATTGTCAGAGTTGTAATTATACACGTGTTAGCGTGGTTATTTAATTAACATCTTTCCCCCTCTAGACCCCAAACCCCATGAAGGCCCGAGAGCATGTGGGCCTTTAGTCCCGGGGTATCCCTGGGGTCCATGTCGGACCCAGAACGGGTTCGGCAGATGCTCGTTGAGGGAATGATGACCACTTTCGGAATGTAGCATGAAGACACTCCAAGTCAGCGGTCAAGTTGGTTATTACAACAGTAAAAGAAACCCCACAGAGCTGTCCCACGAAGTTCACGAGAAATCTGTTGGAAGGATTTGATCAAGATAAAACAGTCTTTGGCATTTTCTGTTAGCACAGCTAAGTCTGCGGACTGCTCCATTGTTTCCACGGGACCTAAACAAGTCGGAACAAACATGTCCTTGACTTCAGGAGACAAAGTCCAGAGGGCCTGCTAATTTCCTGTCCAGAAAGCAGAATGTTCTAGAATTCAGGCAGAAGGCCATTTCAAAGACCTAGTTATTGCAGTTTCTCACCAGATTGGATTGAGGGGAAGTAAGGAGTAGCGATGAAATTGAATATTTCTAAAAAAATAAATGTCTATTCCAGATGGATATTTTTAAACTAGTCTAATAAAGAATTGTTAATAGTGATAGCTAAGTAGCCTGTCTCGATAAACAGATTAAAAATTACCAGGTTTGTTAATATATCAATTATTTGTGTACTTATACAAAGCTAAAGAATATTTAAAAATACTTAGTCCTGCCCTGGCCAGTTTGGCCCAGCTGTTGGAGCGTCGGCCTGCGGACCAGAGAGTCCTGCGTTTGGTTCCCACTAGGGGCGTGTACCAAAAAAAAACAAACAAAAAACCTAGTCCTCATCATATGTTAAGATGGTCTCCCTGTTATATTTTTTATATCACTTATCTTTTTAAATTAACATTAAAAACATTAATCTACCTCCTGAGCCAGTGGCCATAAATAGTGGGATTGAATTGAACATCCTCTGTCCATTGACACCTGTGTCTGGCCTCCGCTGACTTGCCGTGGTCCGTGGGGTAGCGGGTATCTTCCTCCTCCCTGTGGCTGAGGGCCGGGCGCGGTGTTTACAGGCAGCTTCTGTAGCCCTCACAGCAGCGTTAGGAGATGGAGACGCTCACCCCGTTTCACAGGCGGGGAACAAGGCTCTGAGGGGCGCCCTGACTTGCCCCGGGACCCTAAGCAAGAGGAGCAGGCCTGGCCCAGATCGCTTAGATTCCAGAGCTCTTCCCGGGACATTGGAGGAGCATTTTCTACTGAAAGTATGCAGTATTGAGAGAGAGCAAATGCATCTGCATTTTCCCAAGCAAAACATGGTGTGAAAATATTTTCAGGCATTTCTATCCGCAGTTACAAGAAAATATTTTGAAAGCCCTCGGGTATCCAAGCAGCCCTTGATAAAGCATTTGCGTAAAGCTCCAGTGATTACTTAGTTTGATTTGGTGCCACAAACACTTGTGGAAAACGGACTCATTTCTGTCAAGTATGCCTCAGCTTAGTTGTGTTCTGAGCGAGGGGCAGCAAGGACCTGCCTAGCCCCGGGGCTGTGCCGTTGGGGAAGGCGGTGGGCCCTGGTCTGGGCTCGGGGGAGCCATCGAGGGCCCCAGCGCTGTTCAGGTGCTTGTCTTGGTGCGCCCTGACTCTCCCTCTCCCTCTCCAGGAAAGTAAGCCAGAGCAGTGCCAGGCTGGCAAGAGCCACAGTACCGGGGAGCAGCCGTCCCAGCTCAGCACGGCCACCAGGTACAGTGCCCGCCCGTGGGGGTCGCAGCTCCTGTCCGTGTCCACGGTCACAGCTCAGGCCTGCCAGGTGCCTTAGCCCAGCGCTCAGCAAGCACCAGGGGCCTTGGACCCCGCTGGACCTGGGCGGCACACCTGGGTTCCAGCCCTGGCTCTGTCATCGGCTCAGTGACCTGGAGCAGTTGACTTCGTTTGGTTTCCCGCGAATCAGATGGAGACAGTCCTCCCTTAGATACCTGGTTTCCAGAGTCAGGCTTAGGTGACGCAGTGTAAGTGGAGCGCCTCTCCCGCTGGCATTAGCCCTCAGTGCACGTGGGCAGCAGTGGCAGTAACGAGGACACGATGGACAACGGCATTAACAGTGACACGAAACCACGGAGACTTGCCCTTCTCTGTACTTTAAATGCTCTCCCGGGACTTATGTTTGCACCTTTCTGGTCATTGCTGTGGCTTCAGCGAACTCGGCGTAGGAGACGTCAGATCTAGATGATACCGACCAATGGCGGTGGTGTTTTGTCTTCAGGTGCATCTCTGTGGGTTGGGGGGTGACTGCTCTGAGGGCAGTGCCGGCACCCCTGATGATCTGAAGCTACATGCTGACGTGCGTGAGCGGTGTGCCTCCCACAAACCCCTGGCCTGGGCTCGTTCTCTGGGAGGGGCTTCCACGCATGGGGGATGTGGCCACTTTCCTGAGGGGAATGATGAGCGCAGCCCTGAGTGGGGGGGGGGGGGGCGGGCGGAGGTGTGTTTCTGCACAGGCCAGACCGTGCCGCCCCCTGAAGGGATGGAGGCAGGAGACGAGCAGCCAGTGGAGTGTTCCCCAGGGTGCTGACTCCTGCGGGGAGGGGGAAGCGGGGACTGCCAACAGCAGGCCTCGGAGTGGGGGGCCTGGCGTGGGGGCCTGGAGGGGGGCGGGCCTGGCGTGGGGGCCTGGAGGCGTGGGGGCCTGTAGGGGGGCGGGCCTGGCGTGGGGGCCTGGAGGGGGGCGGGCCTGGTCTGAAATCCTGGCTTCGGGCAGACTCGGGCCAGGTCCGCAGGGGAACAATGTGTTGATGCCGAGAGCAGCCTGGGAGGCTAGTTGGTGCCAGGAGAGGCACACGAGAGAGCACACGAGAGGGCACACGAGAGGCACAGCCTGTCTGCCTGAAGCCGTTCAAACCAGCGCGTCAGCTGCACCAGACACGTCCTGCTCTCCTGGGATTCAGGATACTACTGTATCCGCCAGGAGTTTCCAGGCTTGAGAGCCAGCACACGCAGGACTTGGTCAGCCTTCTGTGTGGGATCCCTGGTGACCTCATCAGCCCCCGGTTCTCTGTCTGTGCAGTGGGGACAAGAATCAGCAGCATGGCCGGCCTGGACCGCACACCCCACACGCCACGCTGTGTGCCTGTGGCACCTGTGGGAGCCGTCAGGAGGGGCACACGTGCTCATCCTGACCTTGCAGCAGGGACGCCTGCTACCTGCAGCCCGTGATCTGCCAGTCTCAGGTCTAGAGAAGACGGGCCGCGGCTCCGAGAGGTCTCGGGGATGGACGATGATGCGGGTGCAGGGCCCGCACCCAGAGGACATGGCTCCCCCACTTTATTCTTCCCGGGCACGGAGGGCCCAGGAGGACGCTGGGCTGGCGGGTTTGCTCACTGCCAGGCAGTTGCAGTCAGTGCGGACAGAAGGCCTTTCTCACTTGCGCGGTCTGACTGCTCCCCGCTCTGAGGCGTGCGCCCCTCTTTATCGAACCTGAAACACGAAGAACGACTCTTGCGAAAAGGAATCGACATTTCGAAAAGTGATCAAGTTCTTTCTCGGAAATGTAAATCTTTGCATTTTCCTGGCATCTTAGACTTTTAGTCTCCTAATTAGACTCCTGCAGTTGACGCAGAGAGGTGTGGGAGTGCTTCCCTAATTGACAGGGTTGATTGACGGGACGGTCCCTGCAGTCTGGGAACTGAGCAAACAGCTTGTCACCATACACATCATTAAAGCCCATCTGAAGCGCTCGCTGTGCTAAGTGCTAACTCAGATGTTCGCAGCTACAGACTTTCGGGCGAGAGGAGCCCCCTTGTTTTGTTCTGTTGCTTCTTGCAGATGCTGTGAATCGAGCAACATTAACTGAGCCGCTGCGAGAGTGGGGGCGGGGGCGGGGGCGGGGCGGGATCCACATTGTTCCATGTGGGGTGGCAAGTCCACGAGGAGCGTGAACGTGGCCTCCGCCAGAACTGCAGCAGCCCCAGTGCAGCCTCCACTTTCATGCTCACGCGCTTCCCTCGGTCTGTGTCCCACGAGCACGGCGGCTGCACGCACCTGGGCCCCTTTTCAGAGCTGCCGGTGGAAGGGACGGCGAGTCTGCCTTGCCCACGCCCGGCCGGCAGAGGCTCACGCCGCTCTGTCCGGCCTCTGGTCCACGTTTGATCTCATTCACTCCAAACTGGATGGGACACAACTATCTCCGACTCAGAGGCCTGTGGCTTGTCCTCTCTGGTTCCTACTCAGCCGCTTGCCAGGCCCATTAGCTCCAGTGGTGTCCGTGTGTCTGAAGGCCCCTGGGTGGTCGCTCACAGGATCTGCAGGGAAGGACTCCTGTTGGAACGTGTGCTTCACAGAGGAGCCAGGAGGCCCAGGGATGAGTTCTCGGGTCGCGAGCCATGGCTGGGACGCCCATTGCCCAGTCCGGCTCTGTGCAGGCCGCTGCCTGCCTGCGTCCCAAGTTTGTTTGGTGAGTGGGATGCAGTTTGTTCCTCTGCGTGTGAAGAAAGCAGGGCTGAAGGAAAAGAGGGGTTTGTGCACCATAACAGCCTGAAGTGTGCGGGGTCCAAACCCGGCTTCTTTGATGCCAGTAGCTGCGCCACCTCCACGATGTTCGTGGACTCAGCCACGTGTGGCTTAGCCCTGCCACAGTCCATGCACCAGATTAGGTCACGGTCTTGGCCAAGTCTGCGACTCCAGCCCAGATGTTCTCTGCAACTCCTGAGCCCCCCGGTGCAGCGGCTCCACGGTGACCTGTGGTCTCCTGTCACGGCACTGGCCCTGCTGGGCCGAGACAGGGAGCCCCGGGAGCCGGCCCTGGGGGCCGAGACAGGGAGCCCTGGGAGCAGGTCCGGGTTACTTGCCGTGTGGACAGCGCCCCGCAAAGTGTGAATGGGTGTTGGCTGAATGAGCACTAATTGGCCAGCCTGAAGCCCACGGTGCTCTCCTGGGGCTCCGGGGCAGTGCTTAGGGAGGGCTGCTTGCATGAGAGGCGGCAGGAATAACGCAGGGGCACTGGGAGTGGCCCCTCACGTCTCCCGCGGGGCGGTCTTGGGTTGTGAGCACTGCTTGGGGAGCCAGCACGTGGAGTGAGAGAGCAGTTTGCACAGGATGTCCCTGATCACGTCCAGTAGGGGGCAGCAGAAGGCATGAGGACGGGGACATTAGCACCGAGGGCAGGAGCTTATGGAGATAAAAAGATAGGATGAGGCTGCGTGTGGCTAAGCCTTGCCCACAGGGTGTGGGCGAAGCTTTGCAGGAAGGGGTGCACCCCAGGAGGCGGGATGAGCCCACTTGGGGGCCACTCTGCCTTTTCCATTTACCCTAACAAACATGTATTAAGCACTCTGTGTAGCATTAAGACATTTTTAAAGATAATGGTCCTGGGAAGCAGGCTTAGACTGCTGGGTTGGGGATTAAAAATCCACAGCAGGATTTTAGTCTAGGGAACAACTAATTACTGATATGCTTTGCATGAGCTATTTAAAGACCATGCACCTGCTTCCCTTCTGCACCTCCCAGGCCCAGCCCCCAAAAAACGGGAAAGTCTGGAAGAGCTGGGACCTCGGCCGGTGGGTTCTGTGCAGGCAGACCTGGGCAGCCCCCGCTAACAGGACTGCCTGCTCGGAGACTCGGGGAGGGTGGGGAGCCTTCCTTGTCTTCACTGGCATCCCCTGGTGAGCCCTGAAGTGTCTGATTATTTGGAGTAGGGGTGTGGAGAGGTAGAAGCAGGGAGCCGACGGGCTGGGCACGTAGACATTCTGACGTCTGGGGCCTGTCCCGCAGCCTCAGATGGGGAGGAGGAGAGAATATGAGTGCCCTTCTCATCGAGGGGGAATCCAACCCCACTCACCAGGAAGAGAGCCTCTTGGTTTTTAGTGGAGTGACGATAGCTGGTAAACAAGGAAATGACCGCGGAGAGGCGGGCCCAGTGAGTAACGCAAGAGCGTGTGAATGGGCGTTCCGTGAGACTCACTGATGAACTGCAAATGGCCACCCGAGGCCCAGAGCTCAGGAGAGACCCGACCGACTCAGCATCGATCCTGGCCTAATGCATTTTTAATGGCTGCCCAGATGCATGTCCTAATTGGCGATTACATCACTGTATTCCAGGATAAAGCATGAGTCATCTTCCAGCGACGAAGAGCGTGCTGCTGCCAGGCCGCCCAGTACCGGCCACCTCCCTCTGCTGTCCAACGTTGGCTACAAGAAGACCCTGCGGCTCACCTCCGAGCAGCTGGTGAGCGTCCTGTTCTCCCCCGGCCTGCTTGCGGGCACCGGCCAGGGCGGCCACCTGGCCTTGTGCGTGATGGTCTGGTTTCCCTCGACTCTCGGGCTCCCACTTGTACTTCCTGGCACCTTGGTCCCCCAGAGGTCCTGCTGCCCTTGGCGTACCCCGTGTTTCCCAGCCACGCGCCTCATGTCACGTCCCCTTTGTCCTCTCTGACTCAGCCCCGGAGGTTCTGCTTCCAAGTACGTATCACAGGAGGCACCCGGTGCAGCTAGCTTATCCTGAGGTTAAATGACTGGTGGACCCAAACCGGGTGTTTCCATTTGGGGAGATGTTCGCCAATTCAAACTGTCTTCTGAGTGGGGGAAATCCAGCACCTGTGATGGGGTTTAGGCATTTCGGGGGCAGGTCCCGTGACGCCCTCTCCTGCTCTGGTGCACACCCGTTTGGATCAGGCCCTTTTTCCCTGGGACCTAGTTCCTGTGAGCAGCAGTGCGCAGGGTCCCAGCCTTAGGGGACACGGTGTTTGATGAGGAAAGAGAATGGACAGGCCCCCACCCCGTGTGACACCACCAGGGCAGCCTGCGGCCCCTGTGCAGCTGCGGGAGCTGACCTGCTGTGACCGCCTGCCCGGCTGCCGCTTCTGAACGCTCTGCCCGGTGACAGACGCCGGTGCCACACAAAAGCGGAAAAACGTAGGGAGCTGTGGCCCCACCCGTGGCTTCGTGCTCTCCCCGCGTGGCTGTGCAGTACGACCGCCTCTGAACCCGACTCAGCTGGCACAGCCCGAGAGCTAGAAATGTCGCCCTCCGGTGGCTCTCGTCCAGAAATGCCGGGTCAGGTTGGCGCCAGCCTGGGAAGCGGGAGGCCTGTGCGCGAGGTGCGCGAGCTGCATTCTGAGGTCCGCGAGGAGAGGGGCTCAGGTCACCCAGATCCTGGAAGGACCCCCATCTAGAAGCAGGAACTGCTCAGTGGCCGAGGGCAGTGATTCGAAAACAGTCCTCACCCTGCTTCTCGTGAAACAGGCACCAGAGCTCGGCCTGGTCTTCCCCTCAGGAGGACACGTTGTGTTTTTCAGAAAAGCCTGAAGCTGAAGAATGGCCCCAACGACGTCGTTTTCAGCGTCACCACCCAGTACCAAGGCACCTGTCGCTGTGAAGGCACCATCTATCTGTGGAACTGGGACGACAAAGTGATCATTTCTGACATTGACGGAACCATCACTCGGTGGGTGCAGCTGACTCTGGGCCCTGGGAGGGTTGACCTTCCTCCTGACCCCTTGGCCTGGAGCCACCTCTTCAGCCCCCTACTGGGGCCACTATTTGGGGGCTGTGCGGGGGTGCTGCGTGCGGAGTCCTCGCTGCCTGGGTCCGCAGCTGCCTCCGGGCCTGCCGGCTGTTTCCACCTGGGCTGTCGGCGCCTCCCCTGGGTCATGTGGACGCTTCCGGAGCGTGCCTTTCTGTGTGGCCTTCCCGTGGTGGTTTAGCCAGATCAAGGACCTGATATGTATCACGTGATCACTAGTTCTGGCCTGTGAGGTGGGGTCCTCCCGGCAGTTCCCATGAGACGTGTGTGCTGCTTGCACTGGAACGGAAGTTCCCCCTTTCCGAAGCTCTGTGTGTTGTTTTTCTCATTTCTGCCCTCCTTTAGATCAGATACCCTCGGCCACATTTTGCCCACACTCGGGAAGGACTGGACCCACCAGGGCATCGCCAAGCTGTACCACAAAGTGAGCCAGTAAGTGCGGCGCGTACCCGCCCGGGCTGAGCTCGGGCGCCGACTGCCGGGCACCCTCTGAGGGTGCCCCAGCCTGGGCGTCAGCAGGGTGGCCGAGGGAATCCTGAGTGCAGTGGGACACGGGAAAGGACGTGGCTAGTGAGTCCACACTGGGGGAGCGAGAAGGCAGCGGCTTTGGGGGCAGGAAGTCAGAGTGAGGGACAACCGGTCTGATACACGCCAAGGTGAGTGCACGCCAGGATCCCGGGTCAGAGAGGGGTCCTGTCCCTTCCCTTAAACCTCAGGAGTTCTGAAAGGCAAGGAGAAGCATTTCTGTTTTTAGATGAGTGAAATATGCTCAGTGTTCAAGCAATTTGTTCAGGTCCTGTAGCTGCTAACAGGCAGAGCTCATCCAAAACCCGGTCAGCCCACGTCGAGGCCATTGCGTCTGCGCTAGTGCGTCTCCAGGGCTCAGAGCCAGTCGGGGGCCCCTACCCTTCCTGGCATCGAGTCGGCTCTCTCCATCCACCTCCGTGTCGCGGGGGAGAAGCCTCGGCCCCCAGTGCACCCTCCTCCCCAGCCAGCGAGAGCAGGGGGAGCCCGAGGCTGGCTCAGGACAGCCCCCCCTTCGCACGCGAGGAGGTCACAGTTCCCGAATGTCAGGGCTGGAACCAGGCCCGCCATTCGGACCCTGCCGTGCTCACCTCTGGCCCGTGGCGGAGGGGGGCGTGGGCCCCCGGTGTTGTTTAGCCCTCTGAGCGCAGAAGATGAAGGGTGCCCCGTCCTGCACCTTGCTCACGGAGTGCCCGCCGTGTCAGGTGCGCGGCCGCCTGGGCCCTGCGCTCCAGTGGGGGTGGGGGGTTGGGAGGGGAACCTTAAGTTCTGCAGGGACCCAAACTTCTGATTGCTCAGCTGCCCAGATCAGTGACTTGACCTTACCTTTCTATACAAATGTACCAAAGTAATACATGCGTCTAAAAAAAAGAGAGAGAGAAATAAGAAAAACTAGAGAAATTTAAAAGTACACAGGTTGTTCCTTCCTCCCTACTCTAGTGCCAAGCTAACCTGCTCCCTACAGCGGAGCTACTGTGAGCAGTTTGGTTCTGCTTGCTGGCCGTACCTGAAATCCCTTTGCACACCTCCCTGTCCAGCACACACATGCTGTCCGTGCGGAAGGACACGTCCTTCTACTTCATGACCTCTCCCCCGCCGCAGGCAGTCCTGCGGGTCAGCCGGCCTGCTGGTGCTGTGGACGTGGTCGGCACGTCCCCGTGTCTTGTTCCCAGCAGTGACGGAATAAGCGTTATTACGTGTGATGAGCACACGAACGAGGGGAGACGGCACGTGCTGAGGCGGGGCTGCTGGTGAGGAGCTTCCCCAAAGCAGATTGCTGGTCAGAGGCCGAGCACACGTGAAGGTCTGATCAGTGTCGCCCGTGGCCCCCGCAGCTCCCGTGACCTGCGCTCTGGCAGACCTGTGTGCGCCGACCCCTCCCACAGCCTCGACACCAGCCGACCTTCTGATTCGAAGGATCAATCAACTGCTTTTCCAGTGACTTGCGTGACACTGGAAATTGCATCTAGTTCGTTTTGAAAGAAACCATCCTGGGTCAGGATGCTGAGTAGTTCACAGCTTGGTTCAGTTTGGCTTTTTTTGGAACATAAATCTATTCCTGTCTTTAATGTTTAAAAAAAGAAAGGCACAGTTGCATGTTTCCTTGGGGGGGAGTATCTTGATTTGTGTCTCTTGGATATTCCCAGGAAAGATACCATCTTGAGAAATAAAAGTTGTGTAGCTTGCCCTGGCCGGTTTGGCTCAGCGGTTAGAGCGTCGGCCTGTGGTCCAGAGAGACCCGGGTTCGGTTCCCGCTAAGGGCATGTACCTCGGTTGCAGTTTGTCCCCGGCCCTGGTTGGTTGTGCGGGTGGCAGCCACTCGATGTGTCCCTTTCACATCGATGTTTCTCTTTCTCTCTCCCTCCCACTCTATCTGTACAAAAAATGAAAAATGTCCTCGGGTGAGGATTAAAAAAAAAAAAAGTTGTGTAGCTTACCAAAGAGCACCCAGTCTTCCTTTCTCTGATCAATGGACTTAGCACGAGTGAGCTCTGTTGGTAAGGATCTGAGGACAGTACAGAAGACTTCTTGTGCTTTTGTTGTGGTTGAGAGGAAGGAGGTTGGCATTTATTTGATCACTGAGTTAGATAAGTGTTCTCGGAGGCTCCCAGACACTCAGACCAGTGATGTCCAGGGCTCCCGGAGTACCGGCTCTGACGCAGCTTGGCCGTGGCCTGTAGGGGCCCCACAGAGCACCTCTGGGAGGAGTCCAGCTCTGGCATGACTTTGGAAACCCAGCCGTTCCGGCCCCACCCTCTGCGCGGTCCTTACTTTCTGCTGCTTCTTCCCAGGCCTCCTGCCTCATCCAGGCTGATGGCGCCCCCACTCCCTGTCCACCCGCCTTTGCCCATGCGACAGCCGCTGCTTGGCCTTGGCCTCTGCTTGTTGCCTCTCAACATCTTTGCCAGCTTGTGATGTTCCACGCAGACCCCGGTCCTCATGCAGACCCCGGTCCTCACGCAGACCCCGGTCCTCACGCAGCCTCTCCAAGCCAGAACCTGTGACCCCAGGCAGCTCTTATCTCTTCCTCCTCGGGTCAGCCGACCTCTTTGTTGACACCCCAGGGCTCGGCCGGGCGTGGTGGCCCGGATCCCAGCACCGAGTCCTAGCCCAGGCCGGACGTGGCGCGAGGCTTCCGTCCTGGCTTGCAGGCCGTGTCCGCCAAGGTCTTAGGCGGCACCGCTGGGAGAAGCCCCGGGACTCGGCCTGTGAAGGCCACAGCCCCTCCTGTGAACGAGCCAGGTGGTTTCCTCCGTCAGGTTTGTGATCAGCGGAGACGTGCCTGGGGAGAAGCGTGCAGAGGCCAGGAGAAGCTGCCTTGGAGTCAGGGGTCACTCACTGTTCCTCTGTCCTGACGCTGCTTCCCTTGCCTTCGGTCCCTCTTCAGTTTCCTCACCGCAGGTCTGTCTGGTGGGACCCAGCCTGGAGACGTTGTCTGATTATTACTTGTTTATGGAGAAGGTGTAAAGCTTCCTTGGTTATTGAGTAAAAAGAACATAGTAGATACAGATGGAAGACATTTGAAACTCCCTCAAACTCCAATCTATTCGTTAAGGACAGTCAGGAGGGACATTTCCTACAACATCTAGGTCATTGAGCCAGTGGGTCTTTTGGGGGCTAAATTTGGACAATAATTGCTCGGATTTTCCACCTTACTCAATACATATTTCTAATATTCATGCAATCAGAAGTCAGCAGGAAGCCAGCCACTGTCTCCATCGATAGATGAGCCCATCTGGGGCCTGAGGTGTGAACTCTCCGCAGCCGGGACGCTGGACACAGGAAATACTGTTGGTGGCTCCTCAGGCTCTTCCTTCTGTGCCCTGCGGCCGTCCTTCTCCTCCGCCCCGAAGGTCACTCAGTCGGCACAGAGAGGAGGGCGCCGGGCCGCCCCAGCTGGTTCTTGGCTCTGAAATAGGACGTTAGGCTGGGCGGTCCCCGAGGTAGGCCACTGCTGGCCCGGAACAGTCCGCAGGGTTGTGGCTGACGTCACAGGTGCACGGGTTGGCAGCTGGGCATGGCTTTCCCAGCCGCGCGGGTCAGACCCCCACGATTCAGCGGTGTCTCCAGCCCGGAGCACCGGAGCTGTCCTCGGTGCTGAGCGCCTGGCCCTTCAGAGGCTGTGCCCACGTCAGAACAGGCAGTGGCACCCCGGAACAGGGCACTGGGGTGCGATGAGAAGTCAGAGTTTGTAGCCATGCGAGAAGCAGACGTTGATTCTGATCAGAGGGACGAGGGGTTGGAGGCGCGTCCGTGGCGGTGCCCCTGAGCGGAACCTTATTGGATGAGGAGGGTTTTGAGAAGGACCGCGCGGCACAGGTGCAAAGGGGGGAGAGGAGGGGCTGAGACACGAGCAAGAGTGGGGGGCCAGGAAGGCAGGTGCTGGCACAGGCTGGGGCGGGCGCTAGTGCACTGGGCAAGCTGCCTGGCACCAGAGGGCCTTGAGGCCCCGCCACGGGGAGCGCCTTCCTCTAGGGCTGCAGCTGGGCGCTGAGGGCCCTTTCTCCCTGCAGTGCTCAGCTGAGCACGAGGGGCCCCCCAGCAGTGTCTGCAGGCTTTGGCTGTCACAGCTGGGCATGCCCCTGGCACCTTGTGGGTGCAGAGCAGTACTGCCAAGTACCCTGCAGTGCAGCATTGTGTGCCCCCCGCCAGCAATTACACGTGTGGCTGCCCAAAATATCAGTAGTTGAGAAACTCCAATGTAGAAGCTTGTCTTGGGCAACATTCCCAAACCTAATCTTTCCAAGCTGCTTGGGCGGCTCTCTGGGCGTTTCGGAGGGATGCAGAGACCGGGACAGGAGAAGCTCCCTGCCCCAAGCCTGGACGGACATGGAAAGCTCTTCCCTCCGGGGTCCCCCCGAGCCCCGCCCCAGCTGCCGAGACCCCCGGTCAGTGCTGTCCACGGGCGCTGGCTGCACCTTGTTCTCTGTGACGCTCCGGCGGGTGCGTCCTGCCCGCCCCGGGGTCCCTGTGCCCAGCGCTCTGTCACGTGTCCAGTTTACGTCATGACTTTCTCGGCACTCTCTGTCCCAGCAGAGGAGCTGGCCGTCCTGAGCGAGGGGTCTTACCCGAGGGGCACCCTGGAGCATCAGCTTTGGTGACATGGTGCCCCCTGAGCGTTGCGAGGAGCACTTGGCATTTCCGACAGCTCATGGGGCGAAGGCTCCGGAAAGGTCACCCCTGCTGCCACCCACAGGGTGTCCCCCTGGAGCTGACTTCCAGCTGAGTTTAGTGATGGCCTTGGAAGGAAAACACTTGTGAGTCGAGAGCAGCGTGGGAGCGTGATCAAACCGTGAAATGTGTTTGAAAAGCGAGTTTTGAGTAAAATCAGCATCGCAGACCCCTGCAGGTGGCAGCGCTTAGGGCTTGATGTGAAGAGCTAGATGCAGAAACAGTGATTGTTTTAAAGAAAGATTGCATTAAGTAGACAGCTAAAACACAAAGATGTTCAATTAGAAAGATTGCTTGATGTTCAGATGCGTCCCTGTTTTCCAAACAAGCTGAGATTTCTAGATTCTCTTTGTCTTAAAACGTTCCTGTTTCCTGTTTTCAAGGACATGTTATTAAACCATCTAGAGACGAGTCCTTCCAAGCATGTGGGTTCATGGGGGGATTGGAGGTCGGATGGGAGGTGCTAGTTTGTACTGGCTCAGCCAGCAGATATTTACCAGTGTCTCCTACATGCCAAGCAAGCCCTGTTCTGGGCACAGGGGTTACAGCCAGGAATGAGACGCAGTCCCACCCTCAGGGAGTGTGGATTAGAGACTGCACACGGGACTGTAACGTCCCATCAGTGATCAGTGACATGGGGACAAACAGCAAGGGTTGGCTCCTGGGGTGAGGGGCAGGGAGGGTGTGCTTTGTGTTTTATTAAATAGAGGGAGCAGGGAAGGGCCCTCTGAGGGGTGCTGTCTGAGCGGAGACCTGGACGAGGTGGGGAGGAAGTGAGCCCTGGGCCCTGGGGGACAGTGTCAGGCGGCAGGAGCAGCACCTGCTGGCCCAGTGCCGGAGCGGGGACCGCACCTGTGGGGACCAGGGAGCAAGTGGGTGGCAGAGAGGCTGGGGCCAGCTCTTTGTGGCCTTGTGGGTGTGTTCATGGCAAAACCACGAGATTACGTTTGGGGGAGAGGGCAAGATTCTGGAGAGTTTGGAGCACGATCGGGTGAGATTTGTTGTCTTTCTGTGGTGGGCTTGCTGGGCAGGGAGACGGTCCAGGCTGCGGCAGGGGTGCAGGCAGGGCTCCCCACCAGGCTGCCCGCTCAGACGCCGCTTGTGAACAGCTGGTGCCCAGACGACTCGGCTGTAAATCGGGGGTTCCCACAACCCCTCCTCAGGTTGAACAGTTTGCTAGGATGGCTCACAGAACTCAGGGAAACACATTTACTAGTTTATTATGAAGGTACAGATGACCAGCCATATGAAGTGCATAGGGTGAGACCAGGAGGGGTGCCCGAGGAGCTGGGGTGCGCCCCCTCCGCACGGGGGTGCGTCGAGGAGCTGGACTCTGAGCCCCTTGGTTGGGGTTTTATGGAGGCTTCACCACTCAGGCAGGATGGGTGAGATCAGCCTCCCTCCGCAGAATGGGGGGGTGGGGCCGAAGTCCCAACCCCCTAATCACAGGGTTGGTTCCTCTGGCAACCAGCCTCTGTCCTCCGCAGGCACCTCATTAGCATAAGCTCAGGATGGATGGAAGGGCTTCCTGTGGATAAGGAGAGAGACCCCTCTTGCTCCCTCACGTGGGGAATTCCAAGGCTTTTAGAAGCTCTGCCAGCAACCAGGAATGAAGACCAAGTATATATTTATGATATCACAGCATCACAAGTATTTGCCGCTGCCTCCGTTTAGATGTGGCAGTAAAGCCACGGATGTGGGTGAGGTCCCCTGGGGTGGGAGGGGTGGTGAGAAGAAACCAGGCCGGAACTTAGAGTCTCGGCGATTGGGAAGAAGTGGCCAGTGAGGAGGAGTGAACGGGATTGTGGGGTCCCGGAGGCCGAGGGAGGGAGGCTTCCAGGAAGCTGCTCGTGGGAGGACCAGGTCATGATGCCTGGGTTCGGCAAAGTGGCGTCACAGGTGACCTTGGCGGGGCGTGCGTCCGGGGAGCGAGGGCAGGTCAGAGGCTGGGCTCTGGCAGAACTGCTGCAGGGGGCCGGAGACGGAAGTCAGCCGGGAGGGGTGAGCTGAAGGCGGGTGTTTGGTGGTGGTTTGGGCTTGGTTTGTTCTTAGGCCGAGACGAGAGGTGTGAGCGTATTTATGTGCAGGAATTACCCAGTGCAGAGGGGTTGGGCTCGGAGCTGGAGTCAGGTCTGTGGAGCGGCAGGTGGCGGTGGGGCGTGTGCACAGGTGGCCGGTGGCCCTTGGTCAGTTGCGGGACCGAGAGTCTGAGCCGTGCAGGTGCAGGCAGGCTGGCCAGTTGGATGCATGGACCTGAGTGTCCCTAGCCGTGAGCATGGAAGAACACCCACTGAAGATGTTCCCTGAGGCTTAAAGGGTGGGCGTGGGTGGGGGTGGGGGTGGGGGTTGTGAACACGCTCAGGAAATGGCAGCGAATGCCCTCCTGATCAGATTTTGTAGGACCTGGCCTTTCACTCGTGAGGGAGCTTGCCGCTCACGGAACACGGATCGGGTCTGTGGGTGCTGGAGTTTCCCTGCGGTGCCACTGAAGGTGCCCGTTCTGTCTCTTCCAGAAACGGGTACAAGTTTCTCTACTGCTCCGCGCGCGCCATCGGGATGGCGGACATGACGAGGGGCTACCTGCACTGGGTCAACGAGAGGGGCACCGTGCTGCCGCAGGGGCCCCTGCTGCTGAGCCCCAGCAGCCTCTTCTCCGCCTTGCACAGGTAGGCCGCCTGAACCCCCAGCCCCCCGCCCGCTCCCTCCCTGAGGCTGGGCGAGAGGAGCTGCCACCACCCCGCGGCCGTCGTGGCACGTGGATCACAGTCGCCGGGGACGTCTGGTGAGAAGCTTCGTCGTGACTGTGCCGCAGCTGAGGACCAGGTTCGCCGCGGCGGTTTCTGACCACGTCAGGTGGTCGGGCCTTGCCGATCCCTCCTGGTGCCTCAGTGCCTGTCCCAGCACAGCTCGTGCCGCGAGGGTGGTTTCCCTCCGTGGGCAGTGACGCCGCCCCGAACCGTGCCCGTTCTGGGAGAAAGCGAGGCGAGCCTGAGGGTGCCACAGTGTGTGTCAAGGCCCGAGCGCGGTCACACCTGTGGATCCCAGGGAAATGCAGAGGTTTTAATGAAATGTCCCGAGTCGAGTTGACAGTTGGCGACGAGCTGCCACCAGCGAATGCGAGGCTGAGGCTTCGTGAGGAAAGGGGAGAGCTGACGTTCTGCTCTGACCTCCTCCCACCATCAATAACGTGATGTGACCCTTTTCAGCGTTTCCTTATTTAAATAGCCTTGTCCAAGAGAGACTGGCTTTTCCTCGTGAGGAATTATTAACAAGAGAAACCCAACCCTCACAACTTGTACTTTCTCTCGGGAGCTGGAGGTGCTCCTGGTGGCCCCCGCATGACCCCGACAGGGCTGGGGACCGAACTGCAACTGAGGTACGTGACCTTGACTGGAATCGAACCCACAACTCTTTGTTCTGTGGTCAGTGCTCCAACCGTTGAGCCAAACCAGCCAGGCCCCTTGGTTCTGTAAATAGCTCTGTCACGTAGATTGTGTTCTAACCAGTCTGCTCAGTTGTGCACACCTGTGGGCTTCACGGAAACAAGTCATGTTCTCCCGGAGCATTGTGTTCCCGGGATTGTCGGTGTCGCTGTAACCCACTCACCTTCCCTCTGTGCAGTGTCCTCGGTGACTCCACTGCACTGTCGATGGTGCCCGAGTCCTTCCCAGTGCTCTGCCGCCGGGAGCAGCGCCCCTGCGTGTCCTCTGGGGGCGCACCCAGAACTAAATGCTGGGCCGCGGTGCACGCACCGGCCTCCGTGGGCTTCACACTGTTTTCCGACAGCAGTGTGGGCGTGCGCACTGGCCGTACTTGCCAGCACTCAGCTCTGTGCGCTGTGGGCCGGGCGGGACATGTCTCAGTTCATGTTTATGGGCCACTTGGGCTTGATCTGCGAGGTGGCTGCTCAGTCTTTCCTCCATTTCCGTTCTGACTTGTCGGCTGTCGCGGATCCCTGGCCGGCTGTGGCGAGGGGCGCCGCGGCCCTCCCCAGTGTGTGCTGTCTGTGCACACGTTCTCGCTCTCATGGGTCGACATTCCACTTCCACCGTAGTCTGCTTTCTTGTGCGTAAGAAAGCCTTCCCTGGCCTGTGCGCATAAAGTCGGTCTCCTGTCTTCTATCTGGATACAGCATACATGTCGCTTTCCACACAGCGGTCTATAATGGAGCACGGGTTGTTCTTTGAATCCTCACCCGAGGGTATTTTCATTTATCTTCAGACAGAGTGGGAGGGGGAGAGAGAGAGTGGAACATTGATGTGAGAGAGACACATCGATTGGTTTCCACCCGCATGACCCCAACTGGGGCCGGGGACAAACCGCAACTGAGACATGTGCCCTTGGATTCGAACCCAGGACTCCTTGGTCCACAGGCCCAATGCTCTAACTGCTGAGCCAAACCGGTCAGGGCAGGAATTGATTTCTGTATGTAATGTCCAGAAAGGGTTCATTTTCCCTCCCCTTCCCCCTTCCCCCCTTCTTTCTTTTCCTCCTTAATAGAGATAGTCTGTTGTCCCAGGACCACTTCCCAAAAGACTGCCCTTCCTCCTGATTTGAACTGTCACTGTGGTCAAACATCAAGTGTCCTTAAGTGTGTGTCTCTGCTGTGGGTCTTTGCTCTCCTGTGTAGAATAGTCATGTTCCATGAAAACACAGACAGGGTCCCATTGGGCGTTTGACTGAAATTACAATGAGCCTATTGATGGGTCCATTTCGGGAGAAGACTCTTTATAACGAACCTCCAAGTCAGCCATTGGCTACATTTCTTCATTTATGTAGGTCTTTCCTGATGTCGTTCAGTGAAGTGCTTAACGTAGTTAGGGTTTTCGCGCTGCCTTCACAGAGGAGATGGGCTCCCACTGGCTCCCACTTTCCCCCTTAGCTGCCGAGTTTGAGGTTGTGTTGGCCTCACGGACAGGTTGGCAGATGTTCTCTTGTTTCTGTTGCTTGCATGACTGGCAGAAGTCTCTGGTGAAGCCCGTGTCCCTGGCGTTTTCTTTGGCGGAGACTTGGAAGTAGGGGTCCCCTCTCTGTCTAGTGCTTTCCCAGGGGAGCTGGACCGACTGGCACCGGTTGCCTCTGAAGGTCAGTGCTCACATCGCCGCAGTTAAAGATGGCGATGCTGCTGAAGCGATGCTCTCGTGCTGACCCTTATTTATTTGTTGGTTTTCACAGGGAAGTGATTGAAAAGAAGCCAGAAAAGTTTAAAGTCCAGTGCTTGACAGACATCAAAAACCTGTTTTTCCCAAACACAGAACCCTTCTATGCTGCTTTCGGGAACCGGCCTGCGGTAAGTAGTGGACGGGCACCTGGACGGTCCGGAGCCCTGCCTGTGGGCCGTGTGCGCCGTCGGCCTCCCTCTGAGGGCGGGGACCACACCCTGTCCTGGCTCCAGTTTTCTTTGCAGGTTGGCCGGCGAGTTTCAGTGTGAAGCAGACACGTGGGACTAGGAACCTTAAGTTCCGAATCACCTGCCGAATTAGTCAGACGACACTGAGTGGGAACACAGCCAGGCCCAGCGCAGTGGGGTTCAGCATCGCAGGTGTTAAGGGCACAGCGGTCCCTGCTTGTCTGCGGTTTTGCCTTCCACAGTTTCAGTTACTCGTGATCAAGCGCAGTCTGAAAATATTGAGTGGAAAAGTACAGAAATAAACATTTCATAAGTTTTGACTTGCTCACCCTCTGAGCGGTGTGATAAAATCTCAACAGGCCCGCTCCGTCCCGCCCAGGGCGGCATCCCTTTGTCCAGGGCGGCCACACTGTGACGCGCCCCGCCTGTTACGTAGGCACTTAGCGGCCGCCGGGTTGTCAGGTCACCTTGCGCTGCCGTGGTGCCCAGGCCGCCCTCTGCACTGAGCTGGGCCACATTCGCGTAGCTTTATACGTTGTTAGGATGCAACAGTGTATCGTTATCATTGTTCTGTTGTTACTGGTTATTGTTGTTAATCTCTTGCTGTGCCTAGTTTATAAATGGAACTTAACCGAAGATACATATAGGAAAAGACATAGTATGGAGGGCGCGGAGCCACCCGCGGTTTCAGGTGTCCACTGGGGTCCTGTGACGTCCTCTGCGGATTGGGGACCACTGTGTTGTTTCACGTGGTGAAAGACACTGCGGGATTGAGTGTCCACTGCCCCCATTTGCTGGAAAGTCCAGCGCAATGGAGGAGAGTTGGGCAACAGCTTCCCAGTAAGAAAATTCTCCTAATTTTTAAACCCATGCCCAAGAAAGTGGGTCAGAGAATAACCTTAGGGAACATGGGGCCTCAGGGGCGTGCTGGGTGGTCCCCTCCTGAACCCCCTGCACAGATGAGCAGACGGCCCAGGGGCACAGCTGGCGGGACAGTTCGCGCCAGATGCTCTTCCTCGGCCGAGCTGCAAGTGTGGTTCTGGTTAAGGAGCGTTTCGTAACATTGCGTAAAATCTGAAATGTCGTGTGTTTGTGTTTACGACGGGCCCTCTTTCTTCACACTTCACCAAACAGGACGTGTACTCGTACAAGCAAGTCGGGGTGTCTCTGAACAGAATATTCACGGTCAACCCCAAAGGAGAGCTGGTGCAGGAGCACGCCAAAACCAACATCTCCTCGTGAGTACCGCTCCGGCGCCCTCCCGCCGCCGGCTCCCGGGGGCCTTTTCCTCGACTGGGGGTCTTGGGGTTCTTGGTTGCCTGTATTTTAATCTTTAATTCCTACAAGGAAAATGTGTTTTAAATCCTTGTATTTTGTTCAAAACGTAATGTTTGCACAATCTGCATTAAACCAGATCCCCTCTGGGTGGAACATGTAAACTAGCGGCTGTGTTCTGCTCCAGAGTGGAACCGAATGAATTTGAAAACGAGTGGTTTTGATTTGCCAAGTTTGGGTTCGAGGCTGAGAACACGAATTAGAAAGGTAACCAGACTGAAATGTCACATAGGCCACATTTAAGGCGGGGAAGTATGTATCCCTTTGCATTCTGGCCTGCAACAGTCTTCTCACCAGAAACACCGCGTAATGGTCAGAACCCCTCCCGCCGTCTGGTCACAGCCCGTTGCCTGGAGGCAGGGGCTGGACTGGGCGGCTGGAATGAGGCACCTGATTGGCTGGAATCTCAGGACTTGGCCGTGTCCCACTTTGGGTTCCTAACTTCTCCGAAGGGAGGGCATTTGCTCATCCTGTGAGTTGGGAGCTTTGCCCTCTGGGTGACATCAGGCAGACAGGTGTCACCCTGCCTCATCTGTTTCCGAGGCTGCCCCTCCTTTGGCCTGGTCAGTGCAGGCCCGGGTATTAGCCTCTGGCCTGAGTGACCCCAAGGGGCCTGCTGGAGCCCCCCCCCCCCCCCGGTGGAGGAGTCGGAACGGGTGAGTCTGGGTCTTCTCAGGTGCCTCCTGTGGCTTTCGGTCGGCCACAGACCTAGGTTTTCCCAGAGCACATTTTCACTTTCGAGAGCTGGCGTCCACCCAGCTCAGCACTGCGGTTCCTGAGCCACAGGGGGACTGACCCGCTCTCCGTCCCCTGGCAGCCTCCCTCCCTGGCCACTGCCACCCTGATGACGTCCCAGCCCCTCCCCACTGCTCCCCGCCCACCACGTTCCCACGTGACAGGGCTCCCTGAGTTTGGAGAAGATCTAGTGGGTTTTTGTTTAGGGTCAGAAAGAACTCTCCGCTGAAGGGACACTGCCCAGAGATGACATGTTGCTGCCAGGCAGCGGCTGAGTGGCAGGTCTTGTTCCAGGGCCTGCAAAGAGGATTCCAGGTCTGCAAGGGTTTGCCCAGGCAGCCCCGAGGTCACCTCGCTCTCTGAGCCTCGGGCTGAATGCCCGCTGTGCCCGAGCCTTGACCTGGGTGGCTTTGTGGGTGGGAGAAAGAAGTCGTCTGTTCCCCAGGAAGGCACACTTCCCACATCTGGTACTGAACTCAGCCCAACCATTTCAAAGCCGAGTGGGTGCCTGCCCTCGGAACCTGGGACACGGCTCTGAGGAGCGATCTGAGTGTCCAGAGGGTCAGGGGGACACTGCCCAGTGGGAGCCTCAGCGAGGCTTCCTTTGCCTTTGTGCCCGAAGGAGCCTGCGGGAGGGCTGCTCCCAGAGCCGGATGGGGCGGGCCCACCACCGGAGCACGTGACGCGGTTCCCTGTGTGTGTGTGTGGGGGGGGGGGGGGGCCACCCTGGTGGTGAGCAGGAGCTGCGCCCGGGGGCACCGCCGCCTCCCTTGGCCACAGAACTCAGACTAATAGGTCTTACAGCCAGGAGGGGTTTTAGACATTTGTTTGAATCCCCAGGAAAGACACAATTTTTGCTTATTAAGAGTTTTTCTGTTTTATGCCAGCACAATGTTTCTCAGAAGCCCTTTGGAGGTCCTTTATTAAATACACATTCATTCTCGTTTAATAAGCAGTTTTATGCCTCAGAACATGCTAATTTCTAGAGGCTGGATTTTGGAAAAGCCCTTTTTGGTTCTCAGCAAATTTGACCTGGAGAGGGCCCCAGTGACTGAGGGGCTCTGGGGATGGGCAGAGGCCGGGCTGGTCACAGTTTCTGGTTGGAGGAGCCTGGAGGTCTATTTTTGTAGTATAGGCCACAGAAACTTGGTGCGCAGCAGCTTCTTGGGAACGGACAGGAGACGGAGCGAGGGCCTTGCAGGGAGCTTTGAGAAACCTGGGCCCAGTGCGGGTCCGTACCGGGGAAAGATCAGGCCTGGGGTCCAGAGAGGGTGAGACACTCGCCGTGGCTTCCACAGACGTAGGCGGGAGGGGTCTGTTCCCCGAGCTCACACTGCTAGGAAATGGCAGAGCTGACGGTCACAGCCGCGTCTCCTTACCCGGGCCCCGCGTCTGTTCACTGTGGAGACGCCGTCTCATGATGCCCAAGACCTGGGGGTCTCCCGGACGCACACACGCGAGCCCCGTGGCAGGTGGCTGGCCCTGTGCTGTGCGACCTCTCTTGTCCACTTCTGCTTTGCCCTCCTCGGTCATTCGTGCCACGTCAGGTCCCACTGTCTCGCCGCCTCGCCGTGGGGTCTTCTCTGACTCCTGCTTGGCGTGCCCCCCAGTTCCCTGTTCCTCAGTAAGGATTCTAGGACACCCTCCACTGTGTTAGTGCCGAGGTCCGTTCTTCAGGCTCCTAGGTTTCTCCTGACTTCTGAACACAGCGTGGGCACGCGGCAGGCGTTCCACGCGGCCGGGTCCCTTGGCGGTGGTGACGCTGTCTGTTCTCTCCAGGTACGTGAGACTCTGCGAAGTGGTCGACCACGTCTTCCCACTGCTGAAGAGAAGCCATTCTTCAGACTTCCCCTGCTCAGACACTTTCAGTGACTTCACCTTTTGGAGAGAGCCACTGCCGCCCTTCGAAAACCAGGACGTCCATTCTGCCTCGGCCTGACGTGTTCCAAGCCACCGCCTACGTCGTGAGAAGACCGACCGGCCGCCCATTAAAGGAGAGGCTTTGGGAGCCCAGAAGTGGAGCTCGGGAGCCCGCGTGCGGTCATTTGCTCTAGAGCAGAGTTGAGGTGCACCCTCTCCCTCCCCGCTGCTCCGGGCTGAGGTCTCTGAGTCAGCACAAAGGGTGCATGTCACAGGCAGGGAGCCCAGTGCACTCGCCGTGGACGGCTGTGCCCGTGGGGGGAAACCGTGTGTGGTCCTGGCCTCCACGCGGCCTCGGTCACGTGCAGTGTGTGCCTGTGAAACCCGAGCAGAACTGGCTGCTGGGGCCCCTGCTGGTGCCACTAGCAACCGAGGAGCGCCGGATGCCTACAGCTTGGAGTAGGGGCACCTGTCCCTGTGGCCGTTCGTGTCCCTCTTCTGTACCCGGTGGGAGGGACGTGTGCGGTCACTGCCCCGAATCTGGAGTCTCTGAAGGGACTCCCGGCCTCGCTGTTTTGGGCCTCGGCCTTGTGGGTGTTCCCTTGCGGTGTGCTGACCAGTCTAATTTCAGGTGAGAAGTTCTTCTTGAATCCCTTTGGTTAAAGATGACCCGTGTCATCGGCACCCTTCCCTGCCCCCTTGCTGTGGCTCGAGCTGGAGTATCGATGCCTTAATGCGTCCGTGGCAGGCGCTGCATTGAGAACGGGCGTTGTCTGGCTCGTCGCTGCGATGCCTTCAGTTTGGATCCTAGGAAGTGTCTCGGGCGGTGTCTCCGGCGGTGTCTCGGGCCAGTTCAGCGCACGGTGCCGAAAGTGGGCGTGGCCGGAGCTGCCCCAGACGGGCGCTGTCAGCTTCTGTCGGAAGCTCTCAGAGGAAGCTGCTTGGTTTTAAGAAAATAGTCTCAAGAGTTAAATTATATTCTTTGTAGATAGTATTTATTACTTGACTCTGACTGGGTTATTGCTATAAGCATTCAGCCATATTCTCTCTATTATAACTGTCATTGGTACATTAAAAGGATAGATGCTAGACTATCCAAAGAGCCTTATTCTGTATATCTCACAGCATTGACCTTCTTTTGGGATTTATGAGTGATGCTTTTTCTTTTCCTTAGCTGTTTCCACTCACATTAAGGGCAGGTGGGTAAGTAATGATTGGAGTGACATTCTTAAGCCACTAGAAGATAAACGAACCTCTTGTTTGTTAAACTGGCTCGTAGAGAGAACAAATCGAAAAGTCAAAGAATTATTTTGGTAAAAGATTTTGCTTTATTTTTGAAGTATTATTTTTCTAAAGAGCGTTTTCCTCCGATGATTGACAGCTTTCCTATTTAAATTGCATTGTTAGCGTCATAGGAGGCGAAACCGTGGAAGGGTCGCAAGGAACCTTACTCTTTCTGTGAAAGAAAACGGAGAGGTGCTGCCCGGTGCAGCTGGTGGGCCCAGAGCAGAGGGGCCCCTCCTGAGCGTCCCTGTGGCCCCAGGGAGAAGGGCAAGGGCCCCTGGCCGGTCACCTTTGCGTAGACGCGCAAACACGCATGCGCAGTCTCTTCGGGAGGCCTCAAAGAGAATTAAAAATAGTCCTGCCCTGACTACTCTGGGCTTGTTCATTCGTGACCTTCAGAGGCTACATTCATTCTTCCTGTCACGAGGGTGTTTTGGGGTGAATTTTAACTTGTGACCTAAGTACAAGCCTGGGGCCTGCAGGGCACCCCAGTTTCTCCTTTGTGGGGGGAGCCTGGCCGTGGGAGTGAGCCGAGGGCCCCATGCCCTTTGCCCTTTGCCCGGCCGAGCAGCTGCAGTCCACTCCGCGAGCGGCCCCCCAGCTCCATGCCACGCACGCAGGGCCGGAGCACGCCTTCCGGAAGTCACGCTCGGATCTGTGTCAAGTTCAGGGTGACCCCTCCCCACCCAGGGGCTGTAACATTATACCTGCCTGTGACTTTGGAAAGGGGATTTATACACGGGGGACACCCACGCCCGTGCTTGTTACCTGTGTTCACACAACTCTAACCCAGTCGCCCAGGGTCACGTGCGGGGACGCTGCGGACTGGGACACTGCAGGGTGACGTCATCGGACGCTCCCCACTGTGACGGAGAAACTGCCTGGTGCAGTGGAGACATGATGACGCCTTCAAAGAACCCCCTTTGCCATTTCAGATGTGGGTCACTGCTTTTCATCTCTGTACCCCTGACACCTGGTCTGTAAGCGCTGCGCAATGATCAGCATCACTGTAGTACTTCACTGTGTGTGCCGGGTGCAAAGCTGGACACTATTGTAATAAAAGAGACCCATGCAAGACTCCTGAAAATCTGTGTGAATTTTAAAGGGTTTTGGCAAGTGATGAGGTTGCTGATTTTCTAGTGTGCGATATCACATATTTTATTCCCTGGGGTAAAAATACATTAAAGCTATGAACTGTTCAAAATTTGGAATGAAAGAGCCAGGCTTTTCTGACGGCTTTGGTAAAACACCAACCTCCTGTGCCTGGACGGTCGGAGGGTGAAGAGCGAGAGGGGAGGGCTGCGCCCTGGGCGCGTCCCATGGGGTGGGGGTGGGGAGGTGGCTCGGGAGCAGGGAGGCTTCCCAGGGCCTGGCCGGTAACCAGTTTCCCGTGTGATACTACATAGCAGGTTCTGCTCCTCGTTCTTTTTTTCTTAATCCTCACCTGAGGGCATTTTTGCATTTGTCTTCAGATAGAGCGGGAGGGACAGGGAGGAAGAGAGAGACACATGCACTGGTTGCCACCCACTCGACCCCAACCAGAGCCAGGGACAAATTGCAACCAAGGTACGTGCCCTTAGTGGGAACCGAACCCGGGACTCTCCAGTCCACGGGCCGACGCTCTCACCGCTGAGCCAAACCTGCCACGGCTGCTCCTTGTTCTTTTATGCGATGGTCAATCAGGTGCGGCTAAGAGAAGGCACTGGAGAGACTCGGGAATACCCAGGTATTATACTCACGGGTCCAGAAACGGAGCACAGGGCCACGTGGGGAAGCAGCGGGGTGGTCAAGGGGCGGAAGATGGATTTCAGTGGCCTCTAAGCTATAGGTCTGGTCCCTGGTTGCCTGGCACCTGGCCGCCTTGTCTCCTGGGATGTACAGAGCAGAGGGGAGGAGGCCGTGCATATCACGAATGGTCTCTCTGCTGTCCAGAAATGTCTGCCCACTGCCCCAACCAGAAAGATGTTAAGATGCCAAGACACTAGAATAATATACAGAAAGTAAAAGGATCAACAGTGCAAGTTCCCTTGCCTCATGTTCACTGTCCTTGGGTTTTGGACTCTTCTCTGTGGTATATCTGATTCATTTTTCATTGTGAACAAATCAATCAAAACCCTTGACTAGTTCACCCAGCTCACTTGGAAACTGTCATCATTCTTATCGATTTTGTGCCTCATCAATATGCTTGAGACATCCTATTGATCTACCTGCATCACCCTAAGTGGTTTTTGGAATAAATGTAAGAGCAGTAGTCCCTAAATGCCCCAAGGGTGGCCACGCAGGGTACCAGGCTGGCTTCCCGTGCAGCCCAGATCTGACGACTCCGTGTCCCGGTGTAGAATGAACGCTTGTGTATGTGGAAGACAGAACAAGCCCTCGTTCGGTTGGACATCACAGATTCATCGCAGCACGATTTTAGATTGTAAGCTCTCTTACCTGTAAAATGAAAACCAGCACAACTGCCCTGGGCCTGGAGATGCACTGCCCTGGCCTTTCCCCACGCTCCCCGGGGCACCACTAGGCTACGCTGTTTCCATTCCGTGGGCCGGCAGCTCACGCGTGCAGGGAAACCATTTCCGCAGCTGGACTGTCTGTCTCAGTGGCAGACACCTGAATGCGTGAAACATGTCCTCCCTCGGTTTTCAAAACCGTCACAGCCCACCAGCCTGTCCTTTTATCGGAGGCCAAGGTACGCTGACAGGTGACCATCGGCCCTGGTTCCCACAGCGCCCTCCCGACAGAACCGGGTGCGTGAGGCCTCGGCGCCATCCCAGGTCAGAACGGTCGTGGAGGAAGGTGGGACAGGCCTTGTTTTTAAAAATCGAACTAACTCCCTGTGGAATCTGAGTTTGCTCGTCTGGCAGGAGCGTGTGCGGGACACTCTGTCACTCACCCTCCACCTGTTCATATGCTGCCCTTTGTGCAACGGTTTTGTCTCCAGACCGGAGGGGCCACGTGAGAGCTGACCTGCCATTTCCATGGGCAGGCTGGCGGGAGGGCCTCCCGGGTCTGCCCTAAACCACAAGAAGGTGGGAGATGCCGTCAGGGTCTCCCTCTGCTTCTGCCCCCTTCTCCAGCTCCCGCTGCAGCTGAAGGCACGGCCATGGCTACACCGCTTGGCGTCTGGAGAAACCAGGGTGTGACCAGGCAGAGTTGGCTCTAAAAGTCAGTGGCCCCGAATGGCCACCTGGGGGCACAATCCATTTTGGTTTGGAGGCAAAGCCTTCGAAAACGTGGTCAGTGCCTGACAAAGGCCCCTCCCAGAGTGTTTGCCTTGGAGACCAGCCAGGCGTGTTGTGGGCTCCTGCCTGGGGAAGGGGAGGACTTCCTTCCCGGACCGGCTGGGTACCAGAGGGCCTCCTGCTGGCACAGCTCAAGGTCAAACATCACTAACGGGTTTGGAGGGGGGAGGAATTGGGGCTGTTTGTAGGTCAGGTCTGAGACCCCTTTGATTTGTGGTTCTCAGAGCATCCTCTTGGGGCCTGCAGCTCCAGCGTCTGGTGGCTTGTTAGAAATGCAAGTTCTTGGGCCCCACCCTTGACCTTCTGAACCAAACTGGGTGTGGGGCCCGCCTGTGTTAATCAATTCCCTCGATTTCAATGCACATTCAAGTTCCAGAAACACCTGAGGCCCGGATCCCGGTTGCGAGGAGCTGCCCGGGCACCGCGGCAGCTGGCATCTTTTGGATCTGACCTGGCCAGAGCAACAGAAAGGATCTGCCGCAGGAGGGGGGCCCCTGGAAACCCAAAACGGGCTCGACTGAGTCCCTAGGTGTGCTGAGCCTTGGATGCATGGCCGCCGGCCCGAGCCACCTCCCTGGGCATCGCAGCATGAGCGGGTCCTGCGCGGCTGGGAGGGGCTTCTGCCTGCGGCCAGGCCGGGCAGCCCGGTGCTTGTGAACCAGCTGACCTGGGCTGTGCCCAGATTGCTGATGGCTCCCTTCCTTCCTCCCCCAAATTGTCGGGCCGGGAGGTGCTGTCCTGATGCCAGAGATCTTTTCAGTGCAGGAAGTCCATTCAGCCCTGCATCGCTTTTAATGAGTTTTGCAAGCAAGTGGCCTCTTCCGGTGACTCATTCCGCCTTTTGTGCACCGGAGATTGTGGTTTTAAGTTTCACTTTGGAAAGTAACCACTACTTTTTGCTGCTTTCTCCGCTGCTGGAATCTGAACAAGTTACATTCATTGTGCAACAAAGACATGTAAACGCAGGCGGCCAGTCCTATTTCTGCTCTGATTGTGAAAACATCCTTTTCCGAGATGGATGACAGAGCCAAGCCGAGGAGGAATGGGTCGTATTTTCAAGGAACACATTCATTTGGGAACTTTATGTTTTTCCTCGCGGGGAGGCTGGACAGTTTCGCTTTTGTTCTTTGTCTTCTTGATTCATCGTTCAGGAATATCCTGAAAATAAACAGCACGTGTGGGCTGAGTGAGGCGGTTCACCTCTGATTTATGGAGAGAGACTGAGTTCTGGAGAAAAGTTTATGTTCTTACTTGCAGGCAGCACACGAATGATAAAGATAGTGGAGCCACGTTTTACACAGGGAAACAGTCTTCATCTGGACTCTCCACAGGAATCGGGGTACAGCACCCGAGTGGGCGAATTTCTTAGGGCTGGCCAGCACATGTTAAGCAGACAAACAGTGCAACCCTTTTCTTCAATTCAAATGACATAATGGTCATCTTCAAAATGCTCGTGTTGAGCTAAATGATTCTTATATAATTTTACCTAAATATGTACAAACATAAAACAGTGGCCCTTATCCAACTATAAAACCAAGATGCATTTAAAAATTCAGCACAGATATGACTAGAGCACCAATAAGATGCGAATTAACACAAGCGCTGTGTGTTGGAAAATAGTGATGCATGGACGCTACTGAAGTGATGTGGGGTTTGGGTGTCAAGTATTTGTTTTACATTTCATTTGTCACCTCAATTCCTTGGATCTTGGAGCATGATGGACCACCGTGTCAATAGTCAGCACTCACTCCTACAAAACACAGTCATGAAAAAGTTCTTATCACACTGCCCGCTGATGCGGGTTCTGACGACAGGGTGGGGTCCCCCGAATGAACCGGCTGCTAGTGGTTTACAGTGGCGTGTCTGTGCTTTGGAATCAGATATGTCACTGCTGTGAGGTTCATTATCATTGCTGTCTCAGGTCCCTTTTTACTGTATATAATGGAGTCATTTTATTTTATTTTATATAATTTATTTTATATAATGGAGTCATTCACTCCATTTGAATGAGAAAAATTGAAGTGGAGAGAGATTGCGATTTGTAAAAGGCAGAGTGGGAAGGCAGGTCTGCAAGTCCGGCGTATTTTCAACTGTCCAGCTCTGTCCCGTTGCCCCCACCAGGAGTGGCAGTCATATGGCGATGGGGACATTGGAGGGAAGGTGGGCAAGGCTCAGAGCGGTCGGCCCACCGCATGAGCCGTCCGCCAGTTGATGGAGACGGGAGGACACAGCAGGGAACAGGCTGTGCGTGAACAGACACGAGGCAGCTCCCACATCTGCCCTGGGGCTGGATCACGGTGTGCCACAGTGCCCTTGCTTTTCCAAAATGCCAACACGCTTCGAAAAATGGGGCTCGCACTTCCTGTCTTGGTCAGGAACAAAAATGCAAATGAAACCTGCTTTGTCCCCAAAAGCAGTGTTGACATTTCAATTCAGAAGAATCTGCACGGACCCAATGGTGCCTGGCTGGGGCTGCAGCATGTGTGGACTGGAACGTGACCGGAAGCTTCGCCAGGCTGCGGGGAAACCCACCAGAGATGAGCTGGTGAAGCAGGGCGTGAGGATTAAGTAAATTGTATCTCTCTTCAGCCTTCTGTTGTTTGCTGGCCAACCCACTAGACACTGTTGCAATAGCCCAACAATACAAAGGAGCCACGCAGGTTCAGTTCCCGAACTGATGTACCAGGTCCTGGTGGAGATGTCGACCCCTGTGAAAACGGGGTCGGGGACAGGGAGTTTGGAGACCCTGAACCTTGGGAGGTGACTAGTGTCCTTTAAGAGTCTGCTTTCCTGAAGAGTTGTTGCTGAAAAGCAGCTGCCTTCCA